AGTCCAGCTTCTCAGCTAATCAAAAACGTTTCGTGGTAGCCAACTGCATGCAATACAGGGCAACCCGTGCCAGCCCAGCCTGCTGGTGTGGAAGCTGTGAATGAAATGAGAAGAATTACCGCCGTCTTCACTCTCTGTTTGAGATTGATCCCGAAATTCCAAGTTGCAACGACGGACAGACGCCCCATGAGCTTTCTTCGCCGTTGAGGAGCCCACGCGCCGGGTCAGGCATATACCCAGCTTACAGCGTTGGGGGCTTGCATCAATCTCGAGGAAATTGGACAATGACTTGTCAAGTCAGGACAGCCCCGTCGTTGGAAAGGCCCCCTCCCCCTCCTGCTATAGTAGGATGATTTATAACTGAGAATTGATAGAGCCTGTTTTGTTCGTATCCTCCTCTACCTCCTCTATTACTATCAGCCTTGTACTACCCACGTGCACCATCGGCATATGGGACAGGAAATGGGCAAATGTACTTTCCCGTGGCTCGAAAAATTGGATCTTTGTGCCCTGAGCTCAACCGCCCCAAATTTGACATGCACTTTTCCGAGGACTACTCCACCACTAATGCGCGCCTCATTACGCCTGTCAGCGACTCCTACTCGTGTACCCAAAGGAAAGAAGATGAACTGAGGTAAGCAATATTACCACATCACCATGCACGGGGATGAAGTTTGTTTCATTTGCATCTGGCCGGAAAGCTACCTCCAGATCCGTGGGACAGTTCCAAGTAATTAGTTAGTAATAGTGCTTGTTATTATAATTATCGTTGTTGTCGCTGTGTCCTCTAAAGCCAAGAACTATTACTGTACGGTAAATATAGCACCAGGGCTCCGTGTCCCCGATACCCGCGCTCTCTCTTGATCTCTCACCCGCGCCGCCACGCGTAAAGTGGCGTTCTGAACTTCCAAGCTTTCTCCCACTCACTCACGACCGCGACCTGTCTAGGCCAAGCTTGGTCTAAAAAGCTGTAGCCTCTCCCTATACCCAAGACATTCCCAACAGTGGGGCCCCCCCACACGCCCGCCTTAGGTAGCGTGCTGCCAGTTCCAGAGAGCTGAGGAGTGAGTAAGTAGATGCAGGTTTGGATCAGGCTCTAAGTAGAGAGACGAGGCCTTGTTCAGCATTCAGCCCCCATGGCAAGGAACACACTCGTACTTTAAGTCGGGATGACGCTGCACGCTGCGAGCCCAATCAACGCCTCCAGACGCGAGACTGCGCGAGATCAGGTCTTCGGCTACCCACTCCACCTTTTGAATTTTGATGCGTGTCATTCTCCAGGTTTAGACATTTCATGTGAGAGAAAGAGAGCAGACCAAAGAAGGAAGAAAACACACAACAAGCAGGTTTTGACGGTTCGCGATCTAACATACATACAAAACAACTATTGTGGCAACACACAAACCATTGCACCGGTCGCTTCTCATTTCTTTTCTTTCTCTGTGGTTCAACTCATATCCCAGCGAGACATTTTGGTCCCCGAACAGGATATTGGCCTACGTACGTGCATGTGTACATACTATAGTACATACTTAAACTACCTGGAAGGGGCCAAAGTGATTGCATGTAAGGGCTTGCAGATGGCCCGTTCATGGAGGCCCGCGCTGCATTACGATTCGATCATCCTTTTCGGAGATCAATGAAACCCTCCTTTTTTCTTTCTCTTTCCAGGGGTCAATACTCATAGGGCCAAGACGATGGCGATGATACCATAGTACATACAAATACGACCTTTCCCATCCCGCGCGTCCCTCTTCGTTCTAAGTTTAATGTGAGCCCTTGCCATGCCGCGCGCCGGGGGGTCAGACCAACCAGGCGGCCTTGCGCGTTGTGGTAACGGGTTCCCTGCCAGGCGGGACGAGCTCCTATCTCTGCAGGCTCATCTCCCTATGCGAGGAAGAAGAGGTGCCAATTTGACCATTTAAGGATATATTGGCAAAACCAAAAAAAAAAAAAAAAAATTCAATCAATAACGCATTTCATTCATCCATCCATCCATCCATCTATCTATCGAATTCCCCCCCCCCCCCCCCAAGGTTGGGTTGGCTCGGTTGGCCTTGAGCATTCCCCCGGCCCATGCGTTGATTGATTTGCCGCCCGCCAAAATGCCGTTGAGGCTGTTGTTTGGACATGTTGCTCATCTCGCGTGAGACGACGACATACATACGGCACGAAGTAAACAGGGCATAGGTTGCTGGAGTGTGGCAAGACGCCCGAAATAACATCATTGTTGACTCATCCCCCCCTTTTCTTGTTTCTCTTTTATTCCTTCTTCTCCTCTTTGCCGAATTTGTAGATATCCTCCGGAAGGGGTTCCTGTCTTGAACCTGCAGGTCTCACAATAGAAAAAAAGAAAGAAATAGAAGAAAAAGAATGATGGGGGGCCGGGATGATCGGTGTCCAATAGGAAACGATTGACAGGATGATCGAATCTTACTTACTACTGTAGGTACAATGTATTGTGCCTTGTGTCACCAGTGGCCGCGCAAGCGAGGCGTGTGTCGCACAGATCCCTGGGGTTGCAGTGGCTGCCGCAGAGCCCCGGGGGGGGGGGGGGGGGGCAAGGTGGGTAAACGGCGTCTTCAGCCTCACAAGTTGTCGTAGTTATAGTATTGTCTGATTGTGTTGTCTTTAATGGAATGCAGTAATGCGATATCACGAAGGCTTTTCCAGATGGATGATCTAGGCTACAATCTGGTCTATAAGTTTCACAACATCCCACACAGGAAGGTTTAACAACAATATACCACCCACCGGAACAGGAAAAGGAAGAGTCTTGGAAAGAATTCCATGTTCCGCTCTGGTTTGGCCTTGCATCACGCACACACAACCTTATCAAACTCAGCAAACAAACCATGACAGGTAGGCTCTGCTCTTTAAGCGTCATCGCACATGGAAATAATAGGCGACCGGCGGCGCAGGTCGACCTTTTTTTTTTGTCTCCCCCGCGGATGGAACCTTGTAAGCTGTCGCGCGGCTCGATGATCTACACACTACTGCCACGACTACTGCTACTATTCCTAAAGGTGACACTACATAGTATTGTCCGCCCTCTAACAATTTGGGCCTTAATTCAGCCCTTGCATCCAGAGCACCCATCCCAACCCCCATTGCCGTTGTCGAAACACGTACCAGATATTGATAGCCACGGAACCAGAGAGAAAAAGCTGAGATATCAGCTTGAGATCTGTCACACCAACAACCGCGTCGATCGCTCGGTGATTCCCCAGGGTCGCCGAGGCTACTGAGACGGTGAAAGCGAAAAAGCAAAGGCCAGGCGACCCTGCTGAAACCAGCCCAGCTTGCCCTACCTTACCTACTTGACACTACAGCCACCTTACCACTCGCGTCTGCCAGCGCGTCTTCACAGTTCCGTAGGGAGCCACGGAGGGCGGAGGAAGGACCAGCGGCTGGGAGACGGACGGGCTGTGAGATCCTGATGCCGATCTAGGAAGCGCGCTACTCAAAGGTAACTTACAGTACATAGCATGTGAGCATGTACAGGATGTACCTTAATGCTTGGTTCCTCCAACCCCCAAAGAGAATCGACACGGTGTCGTAGAGCAACAAGCAAGTACCTCACAGTGCAATTGAATGCCCTAATTCTTTCCCCCCCCCCAATCCTTGGACCGACGATGATGGTGCCATGTGCCATCCCATCCGGCCATGTGGCGGGAGTTTGATGGCTGGTGGAACCCTTGTTGCTGTCAATAGTTTTCTCCTCTCCCCCAGTTCTTTTGGCCCTTCAGCCCCAAACCAGGTTTGAGCATCTCCCAGTGGCTCGAGCGGAACTTTTCAACAACCCACCAAAGGGGGGGTGGCAAAGCCCGCATCCTCTGTCCTCCTGTCAGGAGTGCGGAATCCACAATCCTGTCCCGCTTCGTCGGTGTTGTCTTTTGTCTCTTCCAAGTTTTCTCCCACATTCAGCAAGAAGCGGTGACGATCGGTTGGCGGGCGATGCATCTGCTGGGGAAGGGGCACGACAGAGAAAGCGGGCAGAATGGATGGATACCAACTAGCTACTGTACACCAGCACGGACTGGCTTCGCCTTGGAGAGATCTGGTTCTCGTGCAGCAGCTGCTAAAAAAAAAAAAAAAGACTCTATTCTTGGAAAACAAAAAGATACTCCATCGTGTACTACGTGGTCCATGCCCCCCCTTCTCAGGTGCCTGCCCCAAAACCGAAATCGACATTGTGCAGACCGATCACGGCTTTTTCCCCAAGTCCAGCCCAGTACCCCGTCGCGGAAGGGTGTGGCTGCAGAGAATCCACTGGCGACCGTTGTCCCAGTCAGTTCTTGGAAAAAGGGCCTTTTGCCAGCACATCTTTTGTTCCCTCTCTTGGAGCGGTTGGCCGCTTTACCTTTACTATTACAACTTACCAAGTGCATACTATGTCTGCTATGAAACCCCCCCCCCCCCCAAACAAAGGCCTGTGTGGGGTTTTTGCGCTAGTCCCCTTCCACGCCATGCCCGGGGGACGCCTGTCCCGGTGCCTCGGGAACCACGAACCGTTTTCTGCTTGTGCAAGGTCGCAAGGAAAGGCAGGGGAGAGAAGAAAAGAGAAAGAAAGAAAATGGAAAAAAAAAAAAGGCTTGTGGGTCCCCCTTTTCGGGAGATTTGTTTACTGGATGGTTCATGCAGGTGGAAATCCGGGTGGCTGGGAGAGAAGAACAACGACGGAAACAATGCGTTTTTGTCAACAGCTAGCCGCGTGTGGGTCACATTCTGGCGCGATGCATGGCATTGTTATTGATGTTGGTTGGTTGGTTGGTTGAGACGAAGGGACGGAAGAAGAGCAGGAGTCGAGAGGATAGAAGGGTTCCAGGGTAACCGCGGTAGTGAGCTGGCGCGGTTGCCGGCGGTGAGGGAACCAGGGTCAGTCAGCCAGGCGAGCCAAGATCAAGAAGTAGTTTGTTATCAGCCCTGGAATAAAAAAGACAGTGCAGAAACAGAAGGACAGTGAGAGACAAAGAGGATGCGATGTCAACCTGTCAGATCTACATCTTGTTTTTGGAGTTCATGCCTGATCCGGTACCCTAGAAGGAAGGAAAAGTAATCATGTGTTGTGCTGAGGTTCTTTTGTGAGGTCTGCGTACGTCGACTAGCATAGCAGTGATGTAGCAATATCAATTGGGTCTTATTCTTCCATCCCTTGTGCCCAGCATATTCCTCGGTACCGCCGTACAATAGTGAGGTGAGATATAGCATTCAGGTTTCGATATCGTACTAACGACCTCGACCTTGGTCATTGGCTCTCTCTGCTTCATACGGCCAACGCCAGGACCCATGGGAAACAAGTCGCGTCCTTGCATCCTGTTTTTGTTTGTTCCAAGGTTTCCTTGTCAGCCACCTCAACCGTGGGTCAAACCAGGGACTTTTCCCTCTCATCACCAATCCCACCCACTTCCAAGACGATGAAGATCGAGATCAACAGAGATCCGACAGGACCAGTCGGCACATTTCACTGACTAGATTGGGCCAAAACCACATCAACTTGAGGCCGACGATCAATAGTTTAAAATTATCCATATGACTCAGACATGGGAAAGTGACCTTGGTACATGGATTTGAAACTGCTTTTTCATCGTTCTATTTCCTCAGCCTCATTGTGGCGCTTTTTCAGCCTCTCTCTCACTCTCTCTGTGCCTGCTGACAAAGCATTCCTTCATTTGATAACACCTCACAGAGTACATACACCTTGGTTCGAGGGCTCGTTCTTTCCTTTCCTGTCACGCACAGGCCATTCATTATACAGCAAAGAATCACGATGACGACGATGCATACTTTTCCACTTCATGCTCGTCGACGTCAGAGGAAGCATCGACGTGTCTCACCTTTCCGACGTGTTCGTGGGGACACCTGCTTGACTACTCACTAAAACGACAGCTCACGATGGAGATAGCGCCCCGTCCGTTCCTGCAAGGCATTGGCGTGCGTTCTGCGTCTGCCCCGTTTTCGTCGACGTGGGTTTTTTTTGGCTCTTTTTCCCATTCGGAGTCTTGTCTTTCCTGGCTGGCCTAACCACGACGACGACGCCAGTTTGCAAGAACAGCAACCAGTTCCTGTCGATCTCCTCCACCCTCTTGGCCCTCACTGGACGGGACGGTAGGACGTGGGAACTACGACTCGAACTACCCGAAAGGCCCAGCTGCTGCATGGGCGAGATGGGCCTCGCACGAACCGCGGGATGCTGCACGCACGCCGGCATTGCCCTGCAAGATATCGACGGGCCTTGCGGGTACGCAGCGAACCCAAGCAAGCATCAAGCAACCAAGCAGTGGCCAGCGACCAGCCAGAGTCCAGCGTGGAAAGCTCGCTGAGACCGAACGGACCCATCTTTTTGGCTTGTTTGGTGTGCTAGCTATCAACCCGGGGCCGGCATCTGGGGCCCACGCGCTGATTGCCCAATCGAGCTCTCCGGGGGAGGAGAAAAGCTCTTCCACCTTTGAGGCATGAAGCAGACAAGAAACGTACTGTAGTACTATCGTTACCTCTTTGACCTCGACTGGCATCAGAAGAAAATTCCACGATCCTTGACTCAAAAGGTCGTTATTGAGTGGAGTCTCGTCAGACGCTCAAGTACATGCTCATCACAGTTCACACCGCCCCCATACAAACCCCCCCCCCCATGTCCTTCATGAGATTCTAACCAACCCCTCGGCTCTTGTCCTGGAGTCGACAGCCTCACCAAGCGCTGTGGATCCTCCATACGCGTACAGTGCCTACGAAATAAAAAAGATACCGCCCAATTCATCCCATCAGATCGTCCAATCCCTGGAGAGCCCCTCCCTGCTGCATATTCTCAACGTGTTCTGGGGCACACTGTGAATCTTGTGGTCTACTGTGTAGCGCCATAGTGTGAAAGCGGTGGGTCCTTCTTTCTTTCTTTCTTTCGAAGATTTCTCGAAACAAGCGAAATCGAACCACGCCGGCCGTTTTGGAGTTTTGGTTGCCCGTATATCCGCCGGCACCACCATTTTTCGGCCGCTTAGCACACCCAACCAGCCAAATACCAAATCGTGATGGAGTGATTCCAAGGGTTGTACTGCTCACTTTGGAATCTGTTGCAGGAAATGAAACTGAAAAGAACAAACAGAAGAGAGAAGAAAAGAATGCCCAAATGATTCCTCCTAAGTTGTTTTATTCGCGGTGTAGATGCATATGCTTACCGCCTCTTCCTCTTCTCGCCCATTGGATCGCCACGGTCAGGTACAGAGCAATAAAGCGCAGCTTCCGTACGCTGATGATTGGGGTGCAATGTGCCTCATGCGAAACATCGGCCACCGACCAGAACGAGGCGGGTAATTCCGAACTTTTTTTCCTTCTTACTTTTTTCTTTTGTCGGCCAACTTCCTTTGAAAGCATCGTCATCGTCATCGACCTCGGCTCGCCTCTGTGGCTTGCCAAAGCTTTCGTGTAAAGAAAAGAAAGAAAAAAAAACATCGTCCCCACCTGGTAGAAGTTTTTGGGACCCAAAGACGTTGCAATGCAAATGCACTGTCAAGTCGGCACCGTCCAATTACACAATACCCCGCGTCCTTGTCCTCGTCGATGACTACAACTCACCCCGCTCGCAGAGAGAAGAGAATTCTCTGGTTATTCCCTCGTTTTTGAGGCTCGCATGGCGCGCTTCTTTTTGCTGTGGGCTGTTGTCTGTCCCAGCCTGTATGACTAGTATTATTCAGATGCATCGTCATTCCTTGGGGCCTTAATGCACTCTCGTCTGCACTGTAACAATGTAATAGCAAGGGCAAGAGGAGGCAAAAAGAAGAGAGTTAGAAGAGGGGGGCGGATTGGCAACCGATCATCACACACTGCAGCTTTTACTGGTGCCGAGATGTGCGGGCGGCGTTGCACTGCCGTCAGACGCAGGCGCGGGCACCAGGGACGACACGTCTCCTCCTTACGTCGCCGGCCCGCTCTCCCTAGCATTTCATAGTACACGGTACTCACTGTATTGTACAGTATGATGTTCACCATGCATTGCACCGTCAACCAGCTCGGCGATATGCAGAGGGGCACGAGGGGATCTGCCACAGACGAACGGGGACCCCTTCGTCATTTTGGGCCCGTGCGGTGGTGCTACAGTTGCAAGAAATATTGGCTGATGATCATCATTGAGACAAAGCAGAGGGAAGGGAGCCGTCTCCCAAATAAAACTTGGCGCCACCTCATCCGTGCTTCATTCTCGACTGATTGCTTGTAGGGGAAGGAGGAAGATCTGTGCCTGCTGGGGAAACCGGAACGCAACGGCGCGTCATGCCCCCATCGGCGTCCCTAGCGAAGGAGTTTTCCCGGCTTCAGACTATCCGGTGCTGCTCCTCCGATGCACCCCTTCCTCCGCCTTGAAACTGGGCTCTCGGCGTTGTTTCTCTTAAAAAAGTGAACGCATCCCCTTGAGGATCTATCTCTATTCATCCACCGCCTGTGGGGGGGGGGGGGGGATTCTGTTGATCATCTTATGTTGGATCAGTCAATCAATTCCTTGCAAACAAGGTCACGCAGTGCTGCATCATCCTATATAACAAGGGGGGGGAAAGAGGGTACGTCTTTTTTGCCACAATCCTCCTTCCGCAAATCAATACGTCAAACGAGGGTAACACCACTTTTTCTGGGGGGTCGGTGGGATCAGGCGAAGCATCCGTGCTTGCGTTTCCCAAGGGCATTTTCCCCCCAAAACCGAAACGGTGTCGCAGGTTTTTTTTCTTCTTTCTTCCTTCGTGCATCCGGACCAGAGCATTTCTAGTCTTGGCGAGTCGTGCAGTGGGACTAGAGATGGCAACTTCTCTTACTGAGGAAAGAAAGTCCCTGGGTACCGGGATGACGCGTTGAGGCGCGTAAAATGGTAAGAAGCTCTTTAAAAAGGGAGGAGCTCCTTCTCCCTTTGCACGAAACGCGTCCCCCGCGCGTGCGACCCTACCTTACCCTTTCGGCCTTACACACGCCCACTCACACCCACACAATCTTTGTTCCTTTCTTCCTCAAAAGTGCTCTAGCGCTGCAGCAGATCTGGCGCAAGGCCAAGGATTGCTACAGTAGAGTTGCAACCTTGGCCTGCAACAACCTCTGCAAGGACAGGAAGAAAAATTCCTGGCATGACACAGCGCCACGCCCGGGTTGGAGCTGATTTGCCCCCTCCCCCCGGAGCCCTAGGAATGCGGACGCCGGATGCTTTTTTCTTTCTTCCCCCTTCTTCAAAAGGCTTCCACGGACTGGGTCGCGTTGGGAATAAAGGGGAGGCTCCGGAGCTTTGGACCGTGGCGTGCTTTTGAGCGTGCCCGACAACGCGACATCATCACGAACGAGGCGCGAACTTCACCCCACTCCGCCGCCGCCCCCTTGGCTCGTCATCATGGTTTCGCAATCTCACTACGGAACTTCTCTCTCGGGGCTTTTCTTGCAAACTTGTCTGATGGTTGGATACCCCTGCGTCCTCCAACTCAGCTGAGGCACCATTGAGCAAAAGTCTCCTATCTATCCCTTGTTGCCGTCCTTCCGAAGAGGCCGATGACAGTCCATTTTCTTCCCCTCTTGGCTGGTTTCGGAAAGACCATCTTTGTATGGCAAGATGCACTCAGCCCTGGATGGATGTCGATCGGGCCCGACATGTGACCTCATGGAGGAATAAGGGCAACCATGGGCCTGCCCTTTATGGACACATGCAGGCCCAACGGGCTCTGCCTGGCCATGGTTGTGACAAAGTTGTCATGCGTCGCGCATCAGGTGTGCTCAGAGACGACGGCCTCGTGCATTGTGAATTTATTGGACGCCCGTTGGTCATAATCTATTTTCAACCTCGTCCGAAAAATGGTCTATTATGTGTACTTTTCTTCAAGGTGAAGAGAAGACAATGGAGAGGTCGACCATAGAAAGAGGCTTGGTGGGCGGTCCTGGGTACAGGGAACAAGTTGGACTGACAAGTCACACTCGTCACCTTGGAGTCACAATTACGATTTTGCCAGTTAAATCTTTTTGGGAGAGGCGGAGGAGGAAGAGGAGAGCAACTCTGGGACCACCATTGGTCGACCTAACCGCTGCTCAGATACGCCTGTATGCTTGAATCCCTCAAGGTGAGGTACGTCAAGCTCCTCAAACGTCATCCTCCGTGTTGGAAACCACGGGAAGAAGATCATTGGGGGCGACGAATCCAATGGCTCGACGAGATCCTTTCCACACTCCGACTGTTCTGTAATGATGATGTCGACTGCCTCCTCCTCTCTCTCCCTCCCCCCTCAATGTACACAATTTACATCATCAACTTCATCAAAGAGCACCACGCAGCCCTGTGAACCCATCCCCCTGCCGATGTAACCCTAGCTGTCCTCCCGGGCCCTGGTTGCGGCGGCCGCCTCGGCTTCCCAATACGAGAGTCTGGCGGACGAGTTTTCTTGCCCAACCTTCCCAAGGGTGGAAAATGCGAGGGCCTGTGAACCGGTTCCTCGGGACCCAGGAAGCTTGCGAAGTGGCTTGTGTGTGGGGGGGGGGGAGGGAGGGACAAGGAGATGCAAAAGACGCCAATATTGCTTGTGTGCCACGAGCTCAAGAAGTTTGGATCAGAGGAGTTTTGTTCCTTTCGCGCCAAACTTGCTGCACTGCTATATACGCGCATGAGGATAAGGAAACAGGAAAGGAGGGAAATATGAACGAATAAAGAGAAGGGAAAAAGAAAGGATGAAACACGCGTACATGCGCGAATGCACGTCCGATCAGCTGCATGTGATCTGCACATTGAATAAATAGCAGGTTGCCATGCAGGCTGCCATGCAGGCTGCAGCCTCGGCAGGAAATGTGTGGGTGACAAGGCTGGCCGACAGCACGTGTTTCTCTCGGGAGTTTAGTGAGTGAGAGAGAGCAGTACTCGGGCTGGTGTCTTGCTTTTGTTTTTTCCCTTTTCTTGATGCCGCCGCCACACGTCTCTTCTCGCACCCTTGGTCTTGCAAGTGATTAACACCTAACACCAATTTATGCCCCTGACGACAGATGCATGTCCTCGGCCATCCTCGGCGTTGCAGTAGAAGGAGCTGGAGGAGGCGCACCCAACCCACACGAGGTTTTAACTCGTCCTCTCTCTCCAGGGACAAACCATCCATCCATGAGCATCCATGTTAATTGGCTGGGCGTTCCCATTTACCGCCCGGGCTTACGGCCAACAAGCCCTTCAGCTCCTTCACAAAACACGATTAATTGGTTCCTTGGCTTGCAAGTTTTTTACCTTGTCTGGGCCGGACATAATACGACATGAAAAGACCAGTTTTTAGGCTCTGGGCTATGTCTGCCCTGTCCGATCTCGTTTTTTAAGGTCTTGGACTGTATGAGAAGGTTGGTAGTACCTCTTCGAGTTGGGCAGCGATGCCTCGCCCCCCCCCCCCCCCCCAAAAAAAAACCCACTGGAGCTTGAGTCTAGTTCCCGCCTGAGAATTACAAGTTGGCCAGCCCCCCCAATCCCAAAGACCTTTTTATCACATCAGAAGCGGTGCAAATAAAAAAACTAAAACGTTGTGCAGGGGAGGGGAAACCCAAGCACCTGGAACCTGGCAGCCACATATAAGTACAGTAAACCCCCCCCCCCCCGGGTGCGTCGGCCCTTCTTTTTGCTGATCTTGGCCGTGCCAGGTAAAGGGAGCAAAGAGCCCCTCTGCGGCATGGCTAATCTTTAAACGAAAGGCACACACATCCTCTAGAGAAAGTTGCGTAACGGGAGATCCACCACGCCTCCTCCTCTTTTTACCACATCCTGGCCATGGATTGTCGCAGGGTGGGGTGGGTATGTGTGTGGCAGGGCTGATGGCATGTTGCGTCGTCTCATTGCGCACAGCTAGCCCTAGGGCCAAATCTCCTCGCCTGGCTGTCAGTGGTTGGGCTCCTGGGGACGAGTAATCTCCTCAGACCTCCCACACACACACACACACACACACGATCGTGAGCTGGAGGCGGAGCAAAGATGTGCAAGTGCATAGCCTATTGGGACCTGACCTGTAGCCACTATAATCCGGGACCCCCCTTCTTTGATCAGAGCCAGGCTGTGCTAATTGAGTCGAAGGGCCTGCACCAGCGCACCGGGAACAAGGACCCTTCACCGAGGCCTTCTTTCTTGGAAGCATCGATCTCTTCGTTGAGGTCGTCGGTCGGTTGATTTGGTGAGGGAGCTGCTCGTGTGGATGCTATCTGTATTGAGAGGACATCTTGCTGGCTCGAATGATCGTGGATGGTCCCAGGGGGTTGATATTGTTTGTGCTGTGCTGCGAGCCAACGTGGGCTCGAGAATCTGCTGTAGCTTTTGGGATGGCTGGCTGAAGGATGTTGAGATTCGGGCCTTTATACAGGCAATGGGAGGTCACATTGCCGCTGGCATCACTGGCATGAAGGAATTGTCCTTTCTTGGCCAGGAAGTCTACATCATTTCTTGTGGACAGCGGTCAGTGGGCGAGCCCTCTAGTAATGGTCTCCTCCCTAGATTGGAAATCTCATCAGATGAGCTGCTGTCCAACCTGTCCTCATGACCAAAGTTCACGAGTCGGGACACTTGAGTGAAAGGGTCCCAGAAGACAAGCAGCCCCAGCTTGACGATATCAAGTCAGTAAGCAGGCAGGCAGATAGGCAGGCAGGCAGGCATCTCTCGTGATCCAGCATGCCATTGCCTACCATCACCGCTCTGAGCTGGGTCTCACTTGTCCGTCCTCCCCATGCCATGATGATCTGACGCAGGGCTGAAAGGCTTATCATCGCCTGTCACTCATTGTCTCAAGTTGATGCGAGATCTACAAGTGCATCTGCGGAAGTGCTGTGCCTTGATGATGAAGGAGGAGAGGGTCGAGGGTCAATGGGACCTATCCAAATAGCGCAGACATGTTCTTTGCTTGCCAGCCAGGTAGAAGAAGAAAGGGGGGAAACTAAGGAAGAGCCGACCTGCCCTCTGCTCAGCATTGTGGATGACTATGTGAAAGGACATTCAGAAGCCTCATGAGGAAGTTCGGACATCACCACAAACCCATGGCCTCCCCACCAGCATTCTCCTCCTCTTGGTGACACTGTGAACGTTGTCATAACAACCAGACAGCTGCCGAGACAAATGTGACTCATCATATGCATACATGTAAGTAACAACACAGGGAGACAAGACTGGCTGAGACAGAGAAGCAGACAGACCAACCTCATGCGAAGATAGAAGAAAAGAAGCAAGACAAGACTGCCAGACTTGGAGGTACATGATGCTTGTAGAGAAAAGTGACACAAGCACCGCTTTGAATTGGTAAATGGTGTCATGATCAGACGCCTCTAGCATCTCCGTGTTATTCGGTTGCCGTCTAATCCAATCTATCAAGTGGTATCCCCGGAATGAAATTCATCAATTGTGCTCTCGCCGCCGCATGTAAGCCCACCCGATCCTCAAACCAGACTCCAATAGTACAAGGCCTCAGTTCGCCTTTGCTTGGTTGCCGTCAACGCCCCATCTCTTGCTCTCGTCACCCTCCTTCCAATCCTTCTCAACGTACCCAAGCTCGCGCTTGACCCTCTCCACCGTTTCCTTGTCGCCTGTGTTCTTGCCAATATTGTCACTAGACAGGATGCTCGATTAGTTCAAAGACCCGATCCTTCGTACTGCGGTTGCGGTCATGGAGGGCATACCTGATCTTGACGGCCGCATTATTGCCTGCTGAGCTTAGTTTGATGACGATATTCATCGGCGTAGAGTTGCTGCCATCAGAGAGACGAGTAAAGTCGTTTGTCAGGAATGTGCCAACGCCAAAGGTAGGCTGGAAGCCGGCCTCTTCTGCAATCTTCTTGTACTCGAGGCACTTTTCGATGTTCAACGAGTCCGAGAACACAATGACCTTCTTGTCCTTGATGCCAACGCTGCCATAGAACTTTTGCATGGTCTTGACAAACTCCGCCGGGTCGCCCGAGTCCTGTCTGACGCCAGTGAACACCTCCGCATATGTCTTGGACTGCTGGACGTTGTCGGTGCCAGTGGTAGCCGGTGCGTCCGGGAGCTTCTCGACGGGTTGGTTGAAGGCCTTCAGGAACTCGGGCGTACCGAACGTATCCGTGAGCGCAATACCCAACACGCCCTCGCCGAAGCAGCTGACCCAGTGCCGCAGTGCCTCTGCTGTCGCACGCGCGTAATCGTTCTTGATCGCCGCAATGCCCATGAACCACTCGTGGGCGACGGTGCCGACGGGAGGGATGCCAAAGCGCATAGCAAGGTGGACATTCGAGGTTCCGGACAGCTTGCCGGGCAGGCCACGCTGGCTGCCTTGCTCGCTAGCCTGGACGAGGCCTCTGAAGACGAGCGCCTGGGTATGGTAGTCTCTGCGCCGGCGGGTGCCGAACTCGGAGAAGATGCAGCCTGCCTCGAGGAGCTTCAAGCCCTTATCAAATGCCTTCTCCTGTTGGCCATCGTAGTTCCAATCCTTGTCCATGAACTTGAAGTAGGCCTCTGAGGTGAGGGCCAAGATGGGGATCTCATAGAGGATTGTGTCGACCCATCTTCCCTTGATGGCCATGTAGACATCGCCCAGATCTGTGGCGGCGCCCGTGTCTTCTCCAAACGGCACAAACTTGATGACGACCTGGTCGCGCGGGTGTAGACGAAACTCCTGTAGGAATTCGAGGTACTCGGCGTTGAGGTACTTGCAGTGTTCTTTGAGGAAATCCAGCTCTTCAGGGAGGAGGGAGATGTTACCGAGCTCTAAAGACACAGAAAACAAGCTGACGTCAGCAAACTTTGTGAAGGTCATGTAGACAGGAAGACAAAAACAGTAACGAACTGGTAATCTGCTCCTCCAGCCACTTGTAGGCTTCTCTCGACAGCCTCTTGTCCGGGGTACGATTGGTGAAAGCGTAGGTAACAGGGACATCTCTGAAGTACTTGTAGACAGCGCATTGCATAGTCAGTTTGTACAGATCAGTATCCAGAAAGGATATGACGCCCTCTGGGTAGGGCGAAGAGCTATTGAAGTCCATGGTGCTGGCGAATATCAACCCAGGGGATTGTACCAAGAGGGGTTTGGCAGAGATTCGTAAGCTCTTTACGATTGTCAAGCCTGGGCAAGCAGCGGCGCAAGAAAGAGAGAGCCGGTTTCGTATGATCCGGAAGGCACGGCAGCGCAACTACTAAGGACCTTGACAGCTCGTGTTGTCGTTTGGACTGAACAGAAAGGAGGACCTGACTGCTGAGGAGGAACAAAAGTCAGCTACAAAAAGCCAGTGCCATGTTTAGATCGAGCCTCTCGACAACATCCAAGAAGAGGGAAGGGACATCGAGACCTGCTCTTAACCAGTTTCAAACGACTTGCGTAAGTATTGCCCCTCCTTTCTGCACCAGCATCCCACCTTCTGGAACTCCAAAGCGCGACTGCGGACTTACTGCTGGGTTATCAAGAAACGTCAGTGGGGCTAGGGAGCATGGTGGGGTTGGTGGGACCCCTAAAGCTGTTGCTGCTGGCTGCTGTGGTGGTGGTGGTACGTACTCAGTCACTGGTAGTGTGCCTAGCCAGGTAATGCTCTTCCCTGTCCCCACTAAATTTTTAAGCCTTGCCTGCCGCAGCAATCACTGCAACAAAAAAGTTTTTGGGATAGTATTTTCAATGAAGGCGCCTATGCAGCCTGTGCCAGTGACATCTCCAGACTGCACCACACTGCAACAATTTCTTGTCGCGTGTGCTCTCTCTCACAGCCCCCCCCCCTGGGTCCACGCTGACCTCAAGAACAAAGCAGGGGAAGAGGAGTAAGAGACAAGTCACAGTTCACAGTCACGACAGCTGAATTTCTTCACCATGGACATCCACCGCTGCCGCTTCGTTCCGTTCCCTGCCTCGCCAATCAACACCATCGCCTTTTCCCACCCTTTCCTGTCCTCCAAGAGGCCTGCCCGACTTGCGATTGGAAGAGCGAATGGCGATATTGAGATATGGAACCCCCTGAATGGCAATTGGTTTCAAGAAACCATAATACATGGCGGAAGTGATAGGAGTGTGGACTCTCTTGTCTGGGTGACCGGCGAAGACGAACATCTGCCAGGAGGAAACGTCATTGCAGGGAGGTCAAGGCTGTTCAGCATCGGCTACACCACGACCGTGACAGAATGGGACCTTGAACAGGGCAGGGCAAAAAGGCATGCGAGTGGGCAACACGGAGATATCTGGTGCCTTGGCGCACAGCCTGCGCCGCCGCAGGGACAGGCGAACGGAGCTGCGGCTGCAAGTCAACCACAGAGGCTTGTCGCGGGCACGATCGACGGTAGTATTGTTCTCTACTCTATCGACGATGACGATCTTCAGTTCCAGAGAGTGCTGGTCAAAACCGCAAAGCGCAACATCAAGATGGTTAGCATCGCCTTCCAGTCACGGCAAGTCGCTGTTGTCGGGTGCTCGGATAGCTCGATAAGAGTTTACGATCTGAGGAGAGGAGAGCTCCTGCGCAAGATGACATTGGGAAAAGATCTCATTGGCGGATCGAAGGACATCATTGTCTGGTCCGTCAAGTGTCTCAAGAATGGCGACATTGTGTCTGGCGACTCTACCGGCCAGGTGGTAATCTGGGATGGCAAGACCTATACGCAGGCGCAGCGGATACAAGGGCACAAGTCAGATGTATTGAGTCTTGCGACGAGTGCAGATGGCTCCTCAATCATTAGCGGAGGCATGGACCGCCGGACAGCACTGTACCGCCCTATGGCGCGTGATCCTTCTCGTTGGCAGAGAGTCTGGCACAGGAAATACCACGACCACGACGTGAAAGCCATGGCATCTTTTGAAGGCCAAGGCATGAGTGTCGTCGTGACCGGAGGTGAGACTACCCAGCTCTATCATGTGGCGCCGTATGCGACTTCTTTACTAATTGTGATTCTCGTTTCTAGGACCTGATGCCACACCCGTCGTCACCCCTCTGCGCCAAGCTGGTGTCGAAAATCACCGCACCCTCTCTCATCTTCCACACACCATCCCGCTTCAAAGTGCCCCCCAGGGGCGTCTGATCGTTAGTTGGTGGGACAGAGAGATACATATCTGGACACTACGTCGGCCGATGAAAGACCTTCTCGAGAGCGATGATGTGGAACAAAGTATTGAAACGAATCGCAAGTTGCTGGGGCGGATACTCATCAAGGGCGAATCAAACATCACCTCGGCTTCGATCAGCAGAGATGGCTCAGTCCTAGTCGTCTCGACTGTCTCTGCCATCAAGGCGTTCCACCTGACGCCGAGCGCTGATGCCAGGGAAGAAGTGCGCATTCGCAAGATCGAGGTCCCTGCTGCAATCGAAAGCTCCGGCTCCACGCTGGTGCAAATCTCTCCTGACGGCCAGTGGCTCTGCTGGATTCAGGAGGGCACTAAGGTCCTCACGACAAGAATAATACGGGACGATTCCTCGGACGAATCTTTGGTATCCATATCTCCGCGGCCTGCAAAGCTGACCCGACTGAGACGAGACATTCCCAAGCACGTACGCCTTGGCGGTCTGGGCAGCTACGATAGGCGTGTCACACATGTTGCTTTCTCCCCCGATAGTGGCATGCTCGCTACCGCGGACTTGGCCGGCTACATTGACACATGGATCATGCAGGACGGCGGCCTACAGAATGGCGCCAGTCCTAGAAGCGAAGACGATGACGCGGCATCAGCATCAGGCGACTCGACTGATTCTGACAGCGATGAGGGCCAAGGCCCTGGGCAGGCCTCTGGGCCAAGGTGGATTCGGAACCCCAAGGCACCACTGTTTCCCAAGCTGTCGCAGTCGCCCGTGGTGCTATCCTTTTCGGAGGAGGCGCTCGGCTCGTCCCTCTATGGCGAAGGTGACCATGGTTCGGATGACTACGTCTTACTGGCCATCACTACCGCCTCGCGCATCTACACATTCCACGCGCTTGAGGGATCGTTGACAAAATGGTCCCGGCGCAACGCCGCGTGGAAGCTCCCCGACGAGGTCCGTGCTACGCGCGACCTGATCAAGGGCGCTCTGTGGCAGGGATCCCGCATCTGGATGTACGGGACAAGCTTCCTCTTTATGCTTGATATCTCACTCGACTTTGGCGAGGACGGAGATGAGTCTGCCAAGCAGAAGAGGAGCAGGAAGCGCAAGAGGGGCACGGACACCGGCGCGGGTAGCAAGATGGAGAGCTCTCAAGCCTTGGCTCCGCAGCATGTTCGTGTTGCGCTTGCCGAGAATGGGAAGAGCGGCGAGTGGGTGGATGTCGAGATGGGAGATGCTGATGCCGATAGCTCACAGGTCAGCAAGGGTGATTTGGAGGGCAATCACGACGATGACGACGACAGTGAGGAGGAGGAGGAAGAAGAAGGCGGTGAGCTGCAGAGGCTGCGGGACCGCGAGCAGTCACAGCAGAAGGAGGTGGGAGGCAGCGGCGCCGCGGAGGACGACGGTGTTGCCAAGCGCAGGAACTGGTGGCACACGTACAAGTACCGGCCGATATTGGGCATCGTGCCGCTGTCGTCCGAGTCTATTGGGGAGCCACAGGTCAATGGGTCTGATGTCAACGGCAGCAAGGGCAAGGGCAAGGGCAAGAAGAAGGCGGCGACAGCTGGCGCTCACCCACCGCTGGAGATCGCGCTGATGGAAAGGCCGAAGTGGGATCTCGACGCGCCAGCGAGATACGTGGAGGACTAGACCAGTAGGAAGTGCTCAGATGTCCTGGATGGACACGCAACGGAGTGTAAGACGCGGTCTAATGGGGGCCCGACCTGTTTGGAACTCTGATGGGCCCGTTCAAGCAGGCAGGTTACCGGAGAGGTTGGGGAAATCTCGTCTTCCCTCATGATGGTTGAATGTCAGTGTGTCAGCCGCGGAAGGGTGTTATCTGTACCCTCCAACGTCCTGTATACCCTCACCTAGAAAGTACAACAGGCCTTTACAATACCAGACTAGAGTCTTCAAAAACATGTAGACTTTGCAGTTCTTCTCAAGATCATGATCACTTTACTCGAGGATCACTCCTTGCTTCTTTGGTCTTTCAGGTTATCATAACATACGGTCTCGCTGTGTCTTGGCAGTAGTCAGGATATACGCAGCCTCGACAAACACCTTCCAAGTCGAATCTTTGGCAGTGACTATATGGTATATTTTACTATAGTATATCCATATACGTAGATAGATATATGTATATAAAAATATATCTTCCAACTCCACAGCTTCGTCACGCCGTCGCCCTGGCAAGCCTGCCCAATACAACAGACACCCCTGTCCTTACTGGTTCCTGTTTGTCGTGTCCTCACCTTACTCTCCAAGGCATGTCCATTGCCTAGGCGGACTAAGTAGACACGTCACGGTATGGCTCACGATAAACAGATGACAAGAAAGATTCTTCTCCTAAAAAGGAAGCATACTTAACAAAGAGAGAAACACAAAAGAGAAACAAGACGACAGAAAAAAGACTGACAAACCAAGTTACGCAATGCTCTCTAGCTCTCACCCCCCCCCCCGGCTCGTCTCCATCTCGTCCCATCTTTTCTGCTTCTCACCAACCCATGAATGGAAGAAGATAAGGTAAGAATAAGGTAGAGGCCTACGCAAGCACCACTACAGGACCCTCCCCTCCCCCTGGTCCGGTCGGATCAGTTCGGTCCCAGGTCACGAGGAGGGGTGTGTGATTAGTAGGTTACGGCAGCGAGAGACGGATCGTGTCCGCCACATACCGGGTGGGCAAGGCAAAGGCAGGGTGACGAGGCCTGACTTGGCTTGACTTTTGTGGTTCTTGAATTTCTTTTTAAGGTTACCAGGGGTATGTTAGCATCAAGTAAGCATGCTAATCATGTGAGGAGAAAAAGAATAAAGAAGGAAGGAAAAAAAGAAAACCATGAATAAGAGAGATGTTTTAGTTCAGGAGACGGGGGGGATCATCTTACCCAGCCATCCACTACCGCACCTAAGCTACCTATACGAGCAGTGCCAAGTGGTGGTAACCAAACAAAACAAGGGCGACGACGACAACAACGGGCCTGCGGAAGTGAGCTTCCCGCGTCCGTGGCCGAAGCTATTGCCAATAACTACCAGCACCCGTACCCAAAATTCTCCCCCACCGGGCCGTGATATTTGGAATCAAGTCGTACCCGTATAGACGGGCGGGGCGCGCGCGGCTACTATCACCAACTACTGACTTTCTATGGGTTACAACCAGCTTACTTGCAGAAGCAAACATCGTACGTGATGGGGCAAGAGGGTCAAAGGATCGGACCCGGCCGGGCTCGTACGAGGAGGTTGGCTACGGAGAGATTCCGATACAGTCTCTTGCCCGGCTCGTCTAGCAACCCAAACCACGGCTGCAGAAAAGTAGGGAACAAAAGGAATGGTTGGAGTGAGGTTTGACCAACACCCTGTTCAGAAAGGAGTAACAATACTACTATGTTTCAATAGAGTTGTTCCGTGTTTGAGGACATTTTGCCTATTAGATGTATGTATTGAATTCGGTACCGCTCCGTGAGGAGCACAGACGCTGAGGCCGGCTCCGGCTCGTACGAGATGCGAGTGGGAATATCATACCCTGACCCCATGGATTGAAGAATAATAATCAACTCACGACGACAACAACGTCGACGATGACGCCTCTCGGGTACTCTATCTCCAGCTCGATATGACAACAAAGTCGGTGCTTACCGGCCCCTCCCCCCCCCCCCTCCCCCTCTTCCCTCCTTTATGCTCTTGCAGAGCCTCATCGAGCGGAGCTCGGCTCGGAGGTTCGGTAAGGTCTACCTGGGTGTTCGTCCCAATATCCATTCCTGCCCCTTCCCAATTAAACCACGCCAAAAGCAAGGGCCTGCAACTCTGGTAATACTCACAGTAATATATATCAAATGGGCCAGATTCGAACCCTTGGCCCAGTCCAAGTGAGAAAAGGGCTCACATGGTCAATACAAGAATTTCACCCTTCCTCTCCCCAGGATTGCCCCCCCGCACACAAAAGGGTCAAAGCGCCTTGTTGCTTTTTCGTACATACTTTTTGCATAATAGCTGTAATACGGAAAAGAGGAGATCTGTGTCTTGGCGTATGGGGTAGGAAACTACTTTTTCGTTGCTCACATCAGAACGGAGCTTATTTGCCAAACTCGTAGTTGTCAATCGACGTTACAACTAGACGCGCGTCTAGAGCAGTCCAGGGATCGAGGACTGGTGGGCTACGTTTTCTTGGTGTCATGTGAATCTGACTGACTCTTTCCATTTAAATTTTGCCCACGACATGTGGCCATGGGGGCCGCGCCAGCTTGGACCCTCCCTAAGGACGTGGCTTGATTGTACGAATATGCTGTGGCGTCTCGTATTACGGATCGAGAATAAATGAATTGCCGACCACAGAGCTTGGAATTGCCGGAGCACCACACTCGTGCTTTATCGGAACTGGGAAAGGGGAGGTCGCGCAGCAGCATGAACAATTTAAAGAGGATGTTTGACAGTGTCAAGCGCTTGGACCTTGAAAAGATGAGAGGGGCAAAGGCTATGGTTGGTCCAAGCCACACATGGGAGAACGAAAGATCATGGGTAAAAAGCAAGGGCGGGGCGGACGATCTCGGACCCGGAGAATACCCAAATAGATCTTATCTCGGCCGGGGTATAAATCATTGGCTTATCAAGGCTTTTCTACTACGAACGGAGTTTCCTTTGCTCGGTAGCCGGCAAGCAATGCATGGGGGGGGGGAAGGGTACGGTGAGACTGGCTATGATGATGTATGCTCTGAATTTCCCACGTTGGACTTGCTTTGTTTGGCTGCGATCGTCTCAAAGCATATTGGATCAATGTGAAATCACCCTTTTTAAAGAGAAAAGTAGAGAGAGAGAGAGAGAGAGAGAGAGAGAGAGAGAGAGAGAGAGAGAAGAAATAATGGGGAGGGGAAGACCTCTCTCCCGAGCGGCTTGATCCGAGTAGACGAGGTTCGTGGATCCGCCAGAAGGCCACGAGGAAAGAAAGCAATCATTCTCGAACAACGAGCAGGGGTTGCGTTCCAGTCGGAAGATGGTCAAACGAGATCTCGCCGACCTCGTGGCAAGTTTCTGTGCTGCTGCTTCAAGCGATGCCCTTTTCTTTCAATACCGTGAGTCGTCCGTCCAGTTGGGAAGGTCCCCTCGCCCTCGCGAATGGTACTGCGGCACGTTACCAGCTGTCCATCCCGACCCGGTTCCCCCCCCCCCTTCCTTTCTTCTCCCTCCTCCTTCAGAGGAATAAGTTAATGGTCACGCAACACATAATTTTTTTTCTTTTATTTTCCTCCTACATGGAGATATTCCCCATACCCGTTGTGGAAGCTGGCCGCGGCGTAACCCAGCATTGAATAGCCGCGATGTCCAGCTAGATGGAGTCCTCCCTCGAGACAACCTGCCGACGTAACCCATGTGGACTGGGAGCCACAGTGGCTTTGCTTCTGGCGTTACAAACCTGTCGACGACGATGCGGATGCCAGTGACCTGCTCGTTGAGGAGAATTTCATACATCTTCCATCTCCCTAGGGAATCTGCGCTGTGCCGCTCGGGGTGGATATTCCAGGCCTCTTGTGGGCAGGAGAAGACTATCGACATCTGGACCTATCCTCAGCTATTTGTGTTTCTTTCCAGTCACCCTGGACTTATTCTGCAAACAGAATAGTCAATGATTTTTTTGTCATGCAAAGATGAACATCATTAGTCGACGGTTACTTGGGGTTCCGGCGCAGATCCGAAGCCGCGCCTCCGATGTCACTATGGCGTACCATAGTTGAATACAAGAACCGAAAGCATATGAGAGAAGAACATATGGGACCCTTTGAACAACAAACAGGTGCACGGGCCAATGATCCCTTCGACAAGCCTGGTGTTGGTTGTGGGGCCCGTACTGGAACAGCCAAGCCTGGGGACGCGCAAGCCTCTCTCCCCCCCGGCGGGTGTCAACTTTCCAGAGAGACACTGTGCCGCCCGGTTCCTCCATGGCCCGTTGTGTGTGTGTGTGTGTGTGTGTGTCCACAGTACTGCTCCATACTAGCCAATACACTAGCAGAGACCGTCTCTTTGGTCGTTGAGGCTGAACGCCAGGAGCGCCACCAGGTCTGTGAGGAGGCGGATTTCCTTTGTTTTGCATTCCACGTAGAGCAGCAAAACCAACCTCGCATAGTACAGTAGTACTTAGTTCCACCCTCGTGTGTACTGTATCAGCAGTCTGCCCAGATTGTTTGCCGAAGTACCGAGATCTGGACTATGCCCATGATGGCTGGCTGTTTCTCTGCACTGTATCATCTATCCCACACCTTCTTTGGTATCCGGCAGCAGCTGCCGACGGGGGATGGTTCGTAGGCACGCCAAGCATGCGTGTCGACTTGGCCACCTCCCCTTTCAACGGGGTTTGCGGAGCCGTCTTACTGGGCACTCACGCCGACAATGAAAATGAGCCGCAAGGTGGTGCAGAGGAGGTGGGTAACTTCAGATGTTGGGGTCCAGAGGACAAGGCCTGGAGTCGTCACCCTTCTTCTCCTTTGGCCTGCGAATAGACTGTTTTGGCAGAGAGTGTCACTGCTCAAAGCTTAAAAGGGGACACACATGACAAGAGGGGACTCGTGCAAGGTCGGTCAAAGACCGCTTCGCTCCTCCGGTGTTCCCATCAAGCCGGCCTGTCCGACTATCAAGTAGCCCACGTCAACTGCTGACGGAGGCGGGGATCGAGAGGAGATGTGAGTGAGCTGGAAGAGGAAATGCATGCATGCATGCGAGTCCTGCATCTATTGAGATCTTCGACGACCAGCCGAAAATGTCTGACGACGGATGGCGAGCTGGCGCAATGTTGTCTGTTTCGGATGGTACCAAGTAAGAGATCTTCATAAATATGAGGCCAACCAAAAAAGCGATCACCTCCCCCCATGTCCGTTCCATCTTCAATGCAGTCTGATTGGCAGCGACGGACAACGAAGAGGGGACGAAAGATACTTGGGTACATATGTGAGCTTGTTGAGGACAGTGCTCAACGACTGTGAATTTAAGCATCTTTTCAGACCTGAAGCAGATGGAAGCCGGTCGCGCGGTGAGCCGAACAAAAACACGCACCCAGAAACAGCAAGGTTTAATCATCTCATCATCGCACACAGTCCGGATTCGAACTTAAAAACCCCAAGCAGCACTGTGGTGGATCCTCCCTGAACAAGTTCATGTTTTGGATTCCAGGGGGTGGAGAGAAGAGGGAGAGAAAAGAAGGCTGAGTCGACTATGCTTACTTAATGCAGGGCCTCTGCGTTTCAACCATCGGATCTTCTCAGATTTTCATGGTCGTTGGTTCTGCAGAACAGATTGGTTCGGCGTGGTACGCAGTGGTGTTACGGCGAATCAGAAAAGGAGGGAGAGACAGGAAAGAAAGAGAAAAGGGCGTGGTGATACTTTGCTACCAAATTTTGGGCTTACGAGTACAAAAAGTATGGTACGTGGTTAAAGTAGTGCCCGACATCCTAAGCCATGAGGCCTGCGTTGGGAAGGTGTGAGCCAGAACTGAGGCTTATCACAAAAACGAAGGCCCACTTCTGGCTGTGGTGGTTTGTGAGTGGTGGAATTGGTGTGTGTCAAACAGTAGAATGAGGAATGCAGGGCAGGGTACTATAGTATACCGGGGGGAGGGGCCCAAGCTACGTACTATGACCGCACCGGGTTGTCATCATCAGCCACGATCCAGGTTGAAAAAGGAAAAGGGAAAAGGGAAGAAAGAAAGAAAAAAGAAAAACAAAGCCACATTGCAAATGACAGGTTGATAGACCACCAGGGGGGAAGGGGCACTGGGCATTTTTGGGCCTGCAGGCAGTGCCAAGACTAAGCCTCGTCATTCTATGGGGAATTTCAAAAACCAGAAAGGAAGGGAAAAGGAAGAAAGAAAAAAAAGAGGCCATGGAGAAGACGAGGCCACCATTTTCCCTTCATAGAAGTCATCTCGGAGATTAAAAGGTGCCTCTTTCTGCTGGAATGAGGTCTAGGCAGGATGGATTGATGATTAGTTGCAGTATGGAACCTCTCCTTTCTTTCTCCCCTCCCTTCTCTTTCAATTTTCTCTTCGTGTCACAGTCAGCTTCTTTCGTGTTACACATGTATGTAATCTTTGCGACCCTCATCAGGACAAAGAAAGAAAGCTTATGAGGCCCATACGAGTGCGGGGAGAGTGACAAAGCAGAAAGGAAAAAACAGAAAGAGAGACAGGAAAGGTACGTACTCTACTATGGTAGCACACAGAAAAGTAATATCGGCGTTAAATATAGACCGTGTCAGGGTAACCTGGTCTGAAATTACTATAGTATGATACTGCACTGCGTAGACCCCTGCCCCTTGTTTGCCCTTCCTGGGCTCATGGCTTGCCATATACCGACCCGCCCCACCCCAAGCTTGCAATTGATAGGTCATGATTGGCAGGGACGCCTCAGAGTACGCGCGTCACTCCCCTACCGAGGAAATCTTCAAGCTGGACAAGGGGGGAGGGAACCTGGCGACTGGCACCACGCCAACAAAACACACCCGCCAAGCACAGCAAAGAAGACACAGCTAGAAGTCGGGGCCAACTCACTGCGGCGCCCATGATCGACCCGCGGGAGCCCACTAAACAGACAATCCCATGGGTCTCATGGCGTCTCATGGAGGGCCCATCCCCACGTGTATTACGTGCACCTGGCGTCCTGGCGGGCGAGGGTCTTTTCTGAAGTTGTAGAAGCGCAACGCAGGACACGCAATTACGAGACTAGTCTGCTCTCGGTCCGGGGTCATACGTACGACTTTTTGCCATGGCCCTACCATGTACAGTGCAGCAGCAGCACAATCTCTTTTTTTCCTCTCTTGTGACAGAGAGATGGTGGTTGTTGGGGTTTGGTGCTGGGAGGGGAGGCCGGGGGGGGGGGAGGTGGTTAAGGTGTGTGGCTACACCATTACTGTGTGTGCCGGTGTACGCAAGCATCTGGGCAGCCAAGCCGTCAGGCCCTCGCAAGGGCCTAGCAGCGAGGCCTACGACCCTGCCACCCTGCCACGCAACGCTTCATTCTTCCCACACACCACACCCACAGCACCCACACACCCAGACCAAGCCTCCTCCTCCTCCCCCCCTCCCCTGCTCCATCTCTGCTCTGGACTGTCCGCCTGTGTACCAAAGTAGCTTCTCCCGCCTTCCGCCGTTTTACCCTCCTCTCCCCACTGTCTGTCCTCGAACCCCAGTGCCACTAGACAAGACATTGTACTGTCCTTTCTGGTCTGGCACCTGGAACCCACTCCCAGGCACACACAGGGGTCCGCTTGCCTTGGTGGCTTGTCCCCATCTTTGCTCGACTCGTCGGTTGCCTTCCGTCTTCCATCATCACTTTACTCTCCCTCCCACCTGCGCCGCACCGTACTGCGCTGCACACACTATTCAACAACTAATACCACTTTCCTATCCTCTTTTCTTCTCTCTCTCTCTCTCTCCTTGTCTCTCGCCTTGCGTCGCCTCGCCTGGCCTCTTGACAATTTCTCCACAACCCACCCTGTTGTCCATCCATCTTTTCTTACCCTCTCCCATTTCAACAGGCCCTGCGCGCGCTTTCTCTTCCGTTTCGCCGCATCCATTTCTTCCCCCTCCCCCCCGTTCCCGCCTCCCCCATATACGTTCTTTTCCTCTACACACGCTACTACTGCTGTGTGGGTGTGCGTGTGTGCGCAGTTAATTCGACTGCAGTCCTACCTAGACTTCTCATCGATTTGTCTTCGTCATACAACGATCGATGGTTGTGATATAGTCATAGAGAAGGGAAAAGGCGATCGTCCTCGTCACTCACGACCAAAGCCGAGACGACCAGGCAACAATTGTCTATCCGACAACACACACACACACACACACACACACACAGACACGACGCCTTCGTGCCATTGAGAGAACAGCGACGGCCTCGAGGCATAAACCGACCATCGTGGCCCTGATCCACCTGCCTACGAATTAAGGGTGGCGACTCGTCGGCCGAGACCCGTTGCGTAGACGCTTACGCTTACGACAACACCTCAAGGAACCTATTTAGTATCCTCATCGCCGGCCTGCTCTTCAGCGGCAGCACCACCACCACCCTCCTCCTCCTCCTCCTTCCCCTCCCGTCGTCTGCCTCTCGCTTCCCAAGCAGGGCAGTCGGCTCTCCCATCGACGCCAGGATGGACCCAAGCAGAGGCAACGTGCCTCAGGAGGGCCAATACGATGAGGCTTGGGCACATGATCTGAGAATACAATTCGAGCAGCTGCTGAGGGACAGGAGGCTCACCGAGCTCACCAACCGATCACGGCAGGGCACACCACAGCCCCGTGAGACTGCCTCGTCTGCCGACCTCCGCGCTGCCGCCGCATCTCCAACACGGCCCTCGACCTCTCACGCCAGCAGCGTTCACACTCCGCCTACCTATGCATCACTGCGCAATCTCCCTTTGATACCGACGCCGCCCGCACAAAACGACCGCGATTCACAAAAGTTCAGGAACCTCATGGTTACGCTCTCACAAACACCTACCAAGTACGAAAACCCCGGCCTTCTCGACGAGGCCCTCCAGGTGATTCCTCTGGATCGGATCTATGGAGAGGCTGAGGAGGAGTGCCAGGTGCTCCAGGCACAGGCCGAAAGCATGGGTGATGGCCGCAAGCCTGAATGGGGCTACCAAGATTGTGTCGTCCGGGCACTGCTCAGGTTCGTTTCTTTTAGCTCATTTTCCGTCAGCCAGCCAGCCACTCATCCTACCCCACCCCCATCCTGCAAATTGTCTTTTGGGACGGGCCGTTTCCTGACTTGTTTCGACTACTCTCTGCAGGTGGTTCAAGCGTACATTCTTCACATGGGTGAACAACCCACCATGTCCCGCATGCATGTCCCCGACGATAGCACAGGGCAAGACAGCACCCACGCCCGACGAGAATGCCCGTGGCGCTCTCCTCGTTGAGCTCTACCGATGCTCAAACTCCGCGTGCGGCGCCTACGAGCGATTTCCCCGATATAGTGACGTCTGGCAACTCTTACAAACCCGGAGAGGCCGGGTTGGAGAGTGGGCAAACTGCTTCAGCATGCTCTGCCGTGCTGTCGGGGCCCGTGTGCGGTGGGTGTGGAACGCCGAGGACCACGTCTGGACCGAAATCTATTCGGAACACCAGAAGCGATGGGTTCATGTCGACGCCTGCGAGGAGGCATGGGACAATCCACGTCTCTACTCGGAAGGATGGGGCAAGAAGATGTCTTACTGCGTAGCATTCTCCATCGATGGTGCCACCGACGTGACCCGAAGGTACGTGCGCAAGAGCGACTATGCGCTGGAGCGCACCCGGTGCCCGGAAGAGGTCATGTTGTATATCATGCAGGAGATCAGGAACATCCGGCGGGCCAACATGAACAAGGACTCGCGTTTCCGCCTCGAGAAGGAGGATGCGCGAGAGGATCGCGAGCTCCGCTCCTTTGTCATCTCGTCCATCACACAGGCCGTCACCGAGCTTGTCCCTGGCTCGGTACACACCACCTCCGCCATCGTTCCTCAGCCGCCTCGACGGACCCCAGCGCCATCATCCTCCGACGACACCAAGCACCCCGCCGAGCTTCCTGGTCGACAGAGCGGAAATGCCGAGTGGGTAGCCGCACGTGGCGAGAACGGAAGGAGGATGCAACAGCAGCCGCCTCAGGACCCCTCTGGCCGACCTCCATTTCCTTGAATGAAAACTCGACACTCTTACGACAATACAAATCATACCAACCGCAATCTCAACCTAGCCTCCTGGCTTCATCTCTAACATCGTCCTTGGGGCCCAAGGGAAGAGCCATCCCAAAGACTACATTCTCTCGGACCCAGACGAATGATGAGGCTACGCCGCAAGGAGAGAGCTCGTCGACCTTTTCGACCTAATGCCACCCGCGCGCCGCCCTTTAGTGGACGATCTACGCACTCGAGCGAAACTCAACATACAACTATACAACGCCACCTACCTACCCATTCTCTTCTAATACTTTTTTGCTCCTTCATTCGACCACCCGCGATGGGCATATTTGACACGGTCAATCTTGGCTCACATAGCCAATTCTTTTCGCCCGCTTTTCCATCTGTATCTACTATTACTACCGACCGACATACTACTGCTCCACTTTCTTTTGTAACAAATCAATCGTCAAACGAGGGTTGGCGCAATGGGATCATATCCATGCTTTGGTGTACTGGGGTTTTCAAAGGACGCTGGCAAGCTACGACTACCGTGTCCAGGCGTTCAGGAAGGAAAGATTCTTGATTTTAGCCCGATTTTTATTTATTTATATTGTGTTGGAAGGGGGCGATAGTGGCTGCATGAGCGTCAGGCATTTTTTCTTTTCTTTGGCCGAGGTACTCTGGTCGTTGGAGAGAAAGACACAAAGAAAGCATTCCATGTATAAAATAAACAACACAGAGATCGCACGCGGTTTTAACGACGACTCCCTTGGGGTACCTGGGGGCTTCAGTCGAGATTGGGGCAACATGGTTGCGGAGGCATTTCATTTTCTGGAAATCATTTTCTAGACGGGCGCACCAAGCCCCGCATCTAGAAAACATGTGTCGCCTTGCGGAGGCATGGATTGTCCTATTTTTTTTTATTTATTTTTTTTTTTTTTTTATATGGAGCTAGAGGCTTCAAAAGTCTGATACCACATTCAAATTGACACGGAATCCCTTTGAGGGGGTTTCTTCCGAAAGCATGCATTCAATCTGTTCCAATCATCTTCAACTTAAGTCTGTTGTGTCTTTTGCAAACAGTTTCACGGTGATCTTTCAATCTATCACCCCCCCTTTCCCCCTTCACCCCTCCCAACTCATATCAACTAGTCTGCCTCGGAGTTTTTCTTTCACGATCTCAGTTATAGCCAAGGGGTTGCTATCAATCAAAACCCTCAAAGTGGGTGTATAGCCGGGGCCAGATGCAGAAAGCCGAAGCCCACCTCACTCTAGTCCAAGTGGTCTAGTGAAGAAGACGAAAAACCCTGCATGAGGTTCAATCCATGCAGCATCCAAACCGGATACATGGGTGAGACCGACCAGACTACTGTCTCGGTAACGTCTGGTTTATTGAAATGCTATTGATTTTTTTTCTTTTTCAGACCTCTTCTTTCGTTCCTTCTTTTGTGTCATTACTTTTCCGATCTAATTACGGCTCAGTAACAGTCAGTGTGTCAGGCGTGGTGGTTTTTTGGTTTTTTTTTTTCTTTCTTTTTCTTTTTACGAATATGAAAAAGAGAGGAACAGCCTCAAACTATCAATTCAGACCTGCATAGTGAATGTGAGGAAGAAGGAGGAGAGAGAGGGATAGACCAAAACAACACGGATGTCCCCGTCTCTCCTTGTCGTCGTCGTTCGCTCACAGTCTTCTTTCTGGGAGAAGAAAGGAAGTCTGGGGAGAGGGAGAGGGGGGGGGGGGGGAAGAGACAAGGAAGAATATCAGAAGGGGGCCGAAAGGCCGGTGAGGTGGCCGGGCGAACGGACAGGGATGGGAGGTAGGTATGTATATACGACATACTATACACATACACATATGTAACATGTGCATGTACACACGAAGATGAAGGGGGGCCAGAGTTGGGGTCTGCACGAGGTTGGAAGGGGGGGGGGGGGAGCATTGTCTTGCCTTGTGATCCGACGTTGCGGGACTATTATGCGGTGGAATGGTCAAGATCCGAGGCTTTCGAGCGAGGGAGAGGGTGGGTAGCAGTAGACAGTAAGTAGTTCTGTTGTGTGGCTTTTCCTTTTCTGTTGTGTTACCTCGCCAAAGGAAGGAGGGGACATGAAGGAGGGTTGGTGCAGGTGGCGGTCTGTGCAGACAGACCAGACCCGGGCCCTGGAGTGCCACCTCCACGGAAGAAGAGAAGTGAGTTACTTCACTTGATGTTATGGCTGTGCAGGAGGGAATACGGGCCGGGCTGGGGGGGGGGAGGGGAGAGGGGGTGTTGCTGGAAGGATACAGATGGACAGGCTATCATCTTCCCGGGTAAGAAGATACTTGGGAAACAACCAGTGGGGGAAATCAGACAGGGAAAAGGCGAGATTGTTCTCCAGCTCGGAGATAGAAGAGGTCGGCGACAGCGATGATTTTGACTTTGAAGTTCCCTCCTGCTGGGTGGATGAACGGATGGTCAATGCTTTTTGTTTGGCAGGGGAAGGGAGAGGCGTGTTTTTGTGGAGTCATCTTGTACTTGATGAGGAAAAGAGAGGAGAAGGGGATAGTATGAATGGGTCCATGCCATCCCTGGAGCACAAAGCTGGAAGGTTCATTTACGTGTGTGTCTTCTGTCTAGAAGTCTGATGGACCTGGTTCAGAAGACAATTATTCGATTGTGGGTGGTCACATGTTCACTCCATGTGGGAAGGATTTTATACTTGATCAATTTATTGAGAACACTGAAGAAGGGGGGGTATCTTTGTTATTGCAGCACGTCTAATAACTGCAGTCTGTCTACTCTCTATATCATTTTTTTCATGTTCCTCCTTTCCTATGCACATTACATAAAGGAGAACAACAACAACAACAACCAGAAGCAACACTCTTCTCCATCATCATTTTTTTCTTTTCTCTTCTTCTTTTCCCCCCTTCTCAAACAGGACCAAGAGCTCTCAAAAGTCACAGTCCATCCTAACTACTTCTCCTTCGCCGTGTTGAGACCGCCAGCCTCCAGCGGCGTTTCTACAACCTGTCCCTCATGAATATACATGGTCATGACCTTGGGGCCGGGGTAGTTTGTCCTCGCGTGGATGAACCACCACGCAGCTGTGATGAACATCACGCCGACGAGGATGACGGAGTTATAGTTCATAGACTCTGCTGTCGTGGGGAGGGCGTATGCTGATAATAGTAGATGACACAAGACTCGGTCAGCCACTATCAAATTCCTCTTTCTTTGCATCTCTCCGGCAGTAAAATGAAATCCTCGCAGGAGGGGAATGCAAATGGGAACTTACGGAAACAATAGAAAATGTTAAAGAACATAATCAGCACTACGGCGATGATGTTGACGGCATCTCCCCACTTCCCGAGGTGGAAGGGCCCTGGAGGGAAGTTTTGCCGTCTCGTCATGACGTTGCCGATGAAAGGAATCGCGTACGAGACGGTCGTGAGGATGATGAAGGATCCAGTAAGATCGAGAAAGGCGGTCGAGGAGCCGATGGGGATGGCGCCCAGGCCCGTTGCGATCACGGCTGTGTTTGGAAGCATTGTTAATTTTGAGTTACGTGCAGCCTTCTCCTCTTTTTCATGGTTGAAGTATTGTGGGGGAGAAGTCAAAGCAAAGAAATAGGAGAAGATGAACGAGCTCGACACGGTTTTGCGCGTGAGGACTTACCAACGAAAAGGGTCGCTGGGACAGGACATGACAGCCTCTCGCTGACCTTGGAAAAGAACCCTGAGAAGGGCACGGCGTTGTCGCGCGCGAGAGCCCAGTAGATGCGAGAGTTCTAAAAGTGTTTCAAGCAAGAATTGTCAGTGTCAAGTTTTCAGACCTCTCGACAACCACCTCTGCTTTTTTTTCTTCTTCTCTATCACTTCGCCCTCTTCTCTTTTCTCTACCTCCCAACGGGAGGAGGGGCCTCACGTACCGTGACAGTCGTGCCGATGCAGCACAGCATGCTCGAGCACCAGATGATGAACAGCAGACCAAACTGCGCACCAAGGTTCTGGGTGCCGTCGCTCCTCGTGGCGGCCTGCTGGTAGATATTGGCCAGAGGATACGTGTTGACGCCGGCCGTCAGCGCGCTCAGGTCGGTCACGGCATACATGATGGCAATGGCAAAGACGAAAGCGTACAGGAACCCGAGGCCGATCTGCAGGGCGATGGCGCGCGGCAAGTCGCGCTTGGGGTGAGGCAGCTCCTCGGCCATGTGGGTGATGGCATCAGGGGTGCCGATGGTGAAGGCGCCGTTCAGCACGCCGCACAGGAACGCCACGCCGCCGGGCCAGCCCGTCACGTTATTCTCGACGAAGCTACCCCAGACGAACTCGTTGCTGGCGTGCTTGGACGGCAGGGCGGCGACGACGATGATGGAGACGAGGCCGCCCGCGATGACGAAGAACATGCCCAGGGTCTGCGTGTGGGGGACCACGCGGTTGGCGAAGACGACGATGAGCACGCAGATCCAGGTGATGAGGATGTAGGCGACGTAGACCTGCCAGGCGGCGTAGACGTAGGTCGACTGGTGGTAGACGACGTAGAGGTTGACGCTGATGTTGGCGGTGATCTGGATGAGCGAGGCGAGGTCGAACATCCAGCCGTAGAAGTTGATCCAGCCTGTGAAGAAGCCCAGCATCCGTCCCCATCTTGGTCCGGCGGCTATGGTTGCCCAGTGGTAGACGCCTCCGGCTGTGGGCACCGAAGATGAGAACTGGAGCAGTATGCACATCAGCTTTCTTGATGCTAAGGAAGATCCCAGTCACAGGACGGTAAAATTATGTCAATGACTACATAAGCCAGCACTTTTAAAACGTACCTCGGCCAGGCCCAGGCCAATAAAGGAGTAATAGAACGCGGCGACAATCAGGCCAAAGATGACACCTGGTGGACCACCGTTGGCTATAATTGAAGAAAGTAGATATCAGTATACGTGCTCTCTCTATCGTTATTGAAGAAGACCCGTGGACAGCATGAGACATGCGTACCTATCGAAACAGATATCGACGACCCCAGAGCAATCCAGGCATTATCGACCGTCAAGGCTATTCCGGCCAAGCCAACCAGACCGTACTGTCTCTTCAGCTGGTCCTTGTAACCAGAGGCATTGACGACCATCCCGTCCTGGGTCGCGGCCACTGTCTCATCTTCAGTCTGACCGCCTGATTCCGGACTCCTCCTCCCCAGCTTCTGTCCTTCGTTGCCTTCGCCCATGCTGTCGAGGGTTTGCCTCCAGGCTGTCCAAACGATAGGGTAGTTGTATGGGCAGTGGAGCGAGTACCGCAGAGATGACTGTAAAACATGCAAGTTCCAGCAAATGGGGAACTCAGTCACAGCGGTAACACAAGGAACGAGAGATTGGCAAACGAGCGAGAGGATGATGATGATGGAAGTAAGAAAAATTACAACGGTACTGCTATCCACGTGGTAGGCACTATGTAATACCTCAGCCCACTGACATGCATATCAGCTTTAAAAAGGGGAGGGGGGTGGGTTGCATCAATTAGCGATTCGCATCTTTGCCTGGGTGTATCGCTACGGCAATCTCTCCGCGATCGATCCCCATTAGCGAATACAGTAGTAATACATTTTCTATGACCTGGGCATGCCAGGGCAAGGGAGGACCAAGCCATAGCTGCTGATAAGCATAAAGATTGGCATTGGTACCCTGGGCCAGAAGAGGCGTCGCAACGGGGCTTCTCTTGGTTCCTGGTTAGTAGACGCGCCGTTTCGTTTTGGAGCTAATGAACATATTACCATGGCAGTATTAGTAGATGCACATACGCCGAGCCAGCGTATCAAGATCTAAAGGGCTGACAAGGGAAGTCCGAAGCGATGGGCTTGGGGGGGGGGGGGGGGGTGGCTTCCCGCTGCCTATAATGCTTGCTTATCTTGGGGCTGGGATAGTGGCAGAGAGAGTAAGAGACTGGAGATCTCGGCAGTTTGGGTAGGGGGTTCTTCTCTTCCGGCCTTCAGCTACTCGATGTAGATGATGCGGTTCGATTGCCCACTGCAACGTCAGGCAGGAAATCTATCTCAAAGAAGAAAAGCGAGTTCAGACAATTACTTGAAGATAAAATAGATGTTGAGCAATTACATGTACACGTATGAAGTACAAGGGAGAGAAGGTGTTTCCGTCTATCCTCAATTGGGTTCCTGGTGGCGCATCTCATCCGGTGGAAGAAAAGAAATCCTCCATGAGGAATACTTAATTTTTGTACATAGTAGTAAGCAGGCAAGCGTGATGGTCCATGGAATCATTATCTCCCCAGGCTGGAGAGCGGCAAAATGTATGACGCACTGACGTGGAGACAATGCTGGAAAAGAGCCGGGCATTGCTTATCAGTTGGATGTTTCGTCGATGAGTGAGGTTAAAGTTTTAGCAAACAATTCTTGGGACCCATGCGCACGAGTTTTTAATTTCAGCCTCTCCTACATACAGTAAACTTTCCCCTGTTCTTGAAAACCACTTGTTTCCCTTGGGCTTAGTACTTCAGTTTTGGATAGGCTAAACCTGAGGCCGAATAAGTAGCACAGTTCACATCGTCAGGTTTTGGCCACGCATCTGGTCTAAGTATCCATCTAAACTGATAACCATCACCCAGGATCTCAACATTACATTTCCTTTGACTGTCATTATTACTTTAATATTCACTCCCCACCCCCCTCCAAGAGAAAAAAAAAAGAAGAAAAAAAAAAAGCAAAAAAGGGGGAACCCCAGCAATTGCAGATACGCTGAAAGTGACGTATAAGTGCTCATACTTATAAGCCCGTATTAATTTGTTTCGAAGACCGCCCTTTCCATTGATATTAAAAGGGGTGGACACAGATCGAAATCAAAAGTCCTTGTCCTGTTCATGAAGAGAAACCTCATCGTACAACCTCACTAAGATTATCATGATATTCTCTTTTGCGTAATGGGTTTGGTCCGGACAAAACGATGAACTCTCCCAGGGTACGAAGACTCTGCTTCGTGAGAGGTTTCAAACAATGACGATACGACTTCCAGTCCACGATCCTTTGTTTCGATTCACTGTCCATATGTTGGAAGCAAGTGATTTTATGCAGTAATCACTGGCGTTTTATATTCGGGATCAGTTGCATTGAAATTGCCCGTCGACTTGACAAGATTCTTTATGGAATATTTGAAGTGACAAGGCCGCATCAAGGTGTAATTACATCTCACATGTAAGACCATGCTGTTAGGATAAGAAAAGTGAACAATGAAGAAATAGACCACGAGGAAAACGGATTCGACATCTACCTGCGCATCGACATCTACCTGCGCATATGGGATTTTGTTCGCAGGCCGCATATGCAGAGCGAATACAATTTGACAACCTTTCGATGCGGCATCTCAAGATCACATTCATTCTACGCGTGTTCGAGCTATGACTCCGTCAAGCAAAGCCACTTGGAACTCTATCAAGTTACCCAGTGCATTCCTGTTTCTTTCTTCTTTCTTTCTCCCCCGTCCCCCTCGCAACACCCTACGCTATAGGGCTCTCAAGCTGCCACCCATCAATGCTCACCCAGCCATCCCTAGCAGTTAAGATGCCGACTGACACTATATTGTTCAGCCAGTAGTAATCAGGGTGACCAGTCTCGAAGATCTGGCGGAGGTGCAAATGCCCGTCTGGTTGCTGCGGCCCGGACGTCTGGACGTAGATGTTGGCCCCGTCGTTGGTGACCAAGTTGTATCTTGTGTCAGCCGAGAAGACACCGGTCTTGTTGTCTGTGGTGCCCCAGTCTGCGCCCAGATCCGATATATTCCCTGGAGAAGTAAGAGGGAGAATAAGCAACCATGCTTCCAGAGGCCGCTAAATCTCTCTCTCTCTCTCTCTCTCTCTCTCTCTCTCTCTCTCTCGCATATATGAATCTACATACCCGACATCCTCGGGCCATTGAAATAGCCTCCCGTGATGGGTATGGCCACGCGATGTCCCTTGGGGCCATAGCCGATGTCTATCGTCGTACCGAGGGTGCAGTTCAGCGAGTACAGGAACGTGAGGCCAGGGGCACTAGGTGTTGTTGCATTCTGGGCGAATGTGCTGGGCATGATAGCTGACGACAACAACGCCAAGTGGGAGAGAGTACGTGAAGTCATGATGTGTGATGGTCAAGCCTGGCATCATCCGAGTGTGCTTGACCAGCAGAACAGGGCCTCCTTGCTGGATTCATGGCCGAGGCTTTTTATATATGAAGCAAGGTACTACTTGATCAGGGGACATAATACCTCATGACCAGGCACCGAGGTCCTCATGCCGTCTACAGTACCGGTCGTGGTGTACGCGGGGAAGCGCCCAGGGATGTTGAAGCAGTGTTGTTGAGTTCCAGCCACAATGCCACCATCTGAGTATTTAGTTCGTGAGGGGAACCGGAAAGTCCGAGATGGATCTAGCTGTTCTTTCACTAATCAACATAATACACATCATATATGGCTAGAAATTTCTCCATCATTGTCCTCAGTCGTGGAATGATTGGAGAAGAGAGCCGAGCATGTTTGTGCTACAGTAATCCTTTCTGACAGTTGCCGTCACTGGTGCCAAAAGGCAGGATAGGCTAAACCAAGCGTTAAAAGGTGGGCTGGGCCGTTGAATAGCAGCAGTGAAGGGTGCAATAGTGGCCATGCACAGCGCCTAACAGATACTAACAAATGTGCTGTAGATTGGAGTGGAGTCATGTTAGGGCGGGGTCCAGGATCATTCACTTTGAGTGATCATTCACTTCAGCAGGTCCGTGCACCACCCAGGGGCTTTACTACATTGTACATAATTGGGTCTGGCACCCAAGGCCAACGAGTTCGTTTGTCAGACCTCACTCACCACCTCATCCCGTCATGCTTTCCTGCTGGCCCCCCGTCCTCGAGCCACACCCCATTCTTCTCTCTCTCTCTCTCTCACACTCACTCACATCCTCATGCGATCTGTCGCATCTCGCTCCTTTTCTCCTCCTCGACCTCCTCGCTGCTTTTAGCCACAACACCGAAATACTGCACTGCACCCCCGCAGTACGCTGCCAGGGCGATCCGGTTAGCCACACCCATCTTTGACCAAGCTACAGGTCCGTCGCTCTCCTTGTCGAGAGCCTCCGATTCTGGGTGGTGGGGGTCAGGTGGTTGTTTTCTTCGACCACCTCGCCTTGTGGAAACCCGCGCCTCTTGCAGCACTGGTGATTGGGCTCTAGAGCAGCGAGGAGGCAGGAATTCTCCTCGTCGTCGTCGACGTCGTCATCGCCATCACGCTTCGCTGGCGAAGTTCGGCTGTCTGCACTTCAGTGCTGTTCATAGTCTGGGAGTCAAGGCTGCTCCTCTTGCTACATTATCAAAGCCTGGGTGGGTGGGCATTCTGTGTGTCAATTCTCACGCAGGGGACAGCTTTTTCTCCATCTCCGTTCCAGCCCTTGTCGTTCTTGCTCTGCCCTGGGGAAGGAAGTTTTCCGCTGACCTGTTGTAGACGTGTGCATCACCACCAGCAGAGCTAGCCTATGCAGCAGCAGCAGCAGCAGCAGCAGCAGCACCACCCCCAGGAATTATCACTAGGGACCCCGACGCCATGGTTTCTGCATCCTCGACCTCACCGCGCAATGCTGTTGACCTCCGTGCCACCCGGGTCGTGGTGGAGGGTCCTACGACCGAGGAATCGCCCCGCGTCGTGACGTACATATCTTGCCATCTCTACCTCTACTTCGACACTGCGTCAAAGGCCGCCTTCTTCAAGCTGCGTCTCCCGCTCGCTCCTGAAGACAATCTACTCGTATATATCTTTATCGATCCCGATCAGGTCGACTCTCTGTCACTCGATCGGGCGACCAGCAAGAACGCCGATCTTGCCAGGCTGTGTGGGAGCTCTGCTCCAGGCACTGTCTGCTTGCGGTTCTCCTTGCGCAGGCCCGCGTCGATCGTTGGGCCTACACAATGTCGTCCACAAGCCGGCCACGTGGATGCCTCTGTGTTGGGCCACATACAATTTCTTGCGGCGCAGACAACTATAGCCGTCCACATTCCCCAGGGCGATGTCTCTACAGCACAGCTGCAGGCCTTGTCCAGTGCCGCATCTGTTGGATTGTTGACCTCGAGCGCCCCGCATGCTAGCCTCAGCCGCATGTACGGCGGGCGAAGCGGAGGTGGTATGTTCATTGAAGACTTGGATGCATTCACACGTGATGACGGCGAGCCAGCTCTTCCGTCTTACGACGAGGTTGCCGGGCCGTCGAAGCCATCATCAGAAGGCTCAAGACAGGGTCATTCTCCCATCCCTTCTAAGAAACGTCGGCTGGAAAGCCCGACTCCAGAGCCAGGGGCGGAGGCGGGCGCAGACGAGAAGGCCGCGTTGGCGCAGCAGAGAAGTGAGCAGCTCCGTGGACAGATGCGAGACCTGATCCGTGATGTCTTCAGAGAAGACATGGTAGAGGATGTGCGCAAAGTAGTCTGCGCAGAGCTCGAGAAGACGGAGGCTCGCATCATGTCCCACGTGGCCGAGCAGATCGACCAGCTTAGAGACGAGGTAACAGAGCGGATTGATGAAGCCATGGCCGAAGCGGTGAGTAGAAATGACCTGGAAGATGTCGTCGACGACCGCGCAGCGGGCATGAAGATCGAGATGGAGGATTTTGTCAAAGACGAGATGCGTGGAGTGGAAGACAAGATATTAGATCATTTTGAGAACGGCACATGGTACGGGTCATTTCGGCGGCCGGAGGATCTCTAGGCCGGGCAGTTCGGTCGCCAGCAGGTGTCCTCAAGTGCTACATTGTGTAGAAATAATAGACTCTAGTCCATCATCCGCAATACTGACACAGACGATTGAAGAAGTCGGGGGGGGGGGGGGTTTGTGCATGACCATGCCGGTAGATCGTATCTTCTGGAAAGATTTGGAACAATCGCCTGAGGATGAGCCAACAACATCAATCATCCTCTCTTTACCTTCACTTCCCTTCACCTTCCCATCTCAGCAAGATCACTCATCACTTGTGGATGCGCTCACTAATGTGACTGTCCGACTAGACCATAGCAATTGGCCTTCTTGAATGTAGATAGATCATTGATGCAGCATGTCATGTTCGTGTTTCTCTCCCCCCCGGTCCCAGCATTAGGGCGCTGGGTAGTGTGTGGCTGCTATTCGCTGCGACTGTAATAGTGCTTATGAATCCTCCATGGCGGTTAAACTGTCTTGCCGCTACCACAAACCAGGCCGATGATGTGACGGTGCTTACTACTTCGCAAAAGGATACTTCTGATTCCTAAGCTAACTTAGTAAGTCGTTGTATCTTGCCTTGGGCCGGACACCGATTCGGTCGAATTGTATGGCATCATATATTTTGATGAAGTATATATATTGTGTATATAATGATGAGATTCGGTAATTTGATTTTGTCTTGAGCATTGCATCTTCATTAATTCTTAGTGAAAACAACGAACCTCTATAACTCACCAATTCGAGAACTCACACGGACAAGAATACAATACATTTTCACACCCCATCTATCCAACATGCCTACCAAGATCTTCCTGTAAGTCAAAACATCCCCTCCTCCCTACCACCACTTCACTAACGCAAGAACAGAACTGGCGTTACTGGTGAGATGAACCCCACCCCCTTCTCTCAGAAACTCGACAATAGTTTCTTCTGTATCACAATAAAATCATTATAATAGTAACATGTAACATATACTGACCGTAAACCTGTTGCATCAAAAGGCTACGTCGGCGGCGATATCGCTCACGCTCTCCAGCAGAAACATCCCGACTACGACTACACCTACCTCGTCCGCAGCGAAGAGCGGGCGAAGCTGGTCAAGTCCAAATATCCCGAGGCCAAGATCGTCTACGGGAGTTTGGATGACTCGGCTGTCATTGAGAAGGCGGCCTCAGAGGCGGATATTGTGATTCGTAAGTTTTCTGCGTGGTCACCTAGACCTGTGTAAATCAACTGGCTCTGAAGAAGAAAAGAAAACTAACCATCCGCACTGACAGACACGGCCAATTCAGCAGACGATGCCCCTTCGGTCCAAGCCATCACCAAGGGCCTTGAGGCAGGCCACACGGCCGAGAAGCCTGGCTATTGGCTTCACACCAGCGGCACAGGCGAGCTGCTCTTTGTATGCCAAACCTCTCTCACCATCTCTTTTTTTTTTTTTTTTTTGTCTTTCTTTCTTCCCCCTTCCTCTCTTTCCTTCCAAGGACTAACACCGCCTCACCACTCCTCACAGCGCGACATCGCCGAGAACCGCTACGGCCAACCCCCCTACCCAGACGAGAAATACGACGACCTAGCCGACATCCAAAAGATCCTCAACCTCTCCGACGAAGCCTTTCACCGCACCATCGACAAGGCCGTCCAGGCCGCCAACAGCTCGCCCGCCATCCGCACCGCCATCGTCTGCCCGCCCACCATCTACGGCACGGGCAGGGGCACGGGCAACACGCGGTCGATCCAGGTGCCGGACCTGATCAAGTTCGCGCTGCAGAACGGCCTCGTGCCTGTAGTGGGCACCGGGCTGACGGAGTGGGACCATGTGCACGTGCATGACCTGGCGGATCTGTTTGTGAGGCTTGTCGAGGCGGCGCAGGATCCCGCCACCGCGGGGGATGCCGAGGTGTTTGGCGAGCAGGCGTATTACTTTGCTGAGGCGGGCGTGCATAAGTGGGGGGATGTGGCCAAGTGTGAGTCGTCCTTCTTTTCCCTTCTTTTGGGGAGCTTTTTTCTATATTACATATATGGTAGCAAAATTTGCTGACGTGCAGAGATCAGGGGTCGCCGACGAGCTTGTCAAGCAGGGCTTCATGGCCGAGCCCAAGGTCGAGACCACCACCATTGAGTTCTTGAACGACCAGGTCGGCTTTGTCGCCGCGACCTGGGCCCTGAACTCCAAGAGCTTTGCAAGCAGGGCGCGGAAGCACCTTGGCTGGAAGCCGACCCGGGAGCACCTGAAGGACTCCATCGCCGAGGCCATATCGGTCGAGGCCAAGAAGCTGGGCATCGAGCCGCAGGCTGCTTGATTTGATTCTACCGGTAGGGTGATTGTTTCACACCAAGAGATATTTCAGGATTGGCGGAGTAATAATGTCTAGTAGCAGTGGTAGAAACGGTAGAACAACCCGAATGAGCACATGGCCTTTTGTGACCGATTGGGAGCATGTCGATGTCCATTACTAGCGGGAAGGACTTGGAGCTGAGCCTACCCTCATATCATCATCCAGACAACCAAGGTCTGGTTACGATGTCTCTTTGTCAATGCTGAAGTACACCTTGACCTCAACCTCGTTGCCCCAGCCTGACTTGAGCCCCATCTCATTCCAGGCCTTCTCGATATCAATCTCCAAGACTTCCTTCGAGACCTTGCTCACAGAGACTGTGTGCGGAGGGATGACTTGCCCCTGGATAGTCGCCATGAAGTCACCGTCGATGCTCAGCTGGGGTAGTTTCGAGATGTAGATTCCAAGAACGCCCAAGGCCTTGATGCTCGTGTCGACGAGGACCTTTCCGTTCTCCAGCCAATCAAATTCATTGCTGACAATGGCAGCCGCGCCCGTCATCTTCCCCAGCAGGCCTAGGTTGGCAACGAATACGCGACCAAGGCTCTCGCTGTCGAAAGGAGAGAGCGGGTAGGCCGTGAAGATCTCGTAGCCTCGCACGTCGAGCGAGACAGTGAACTTGGAGCCAGGGCTATCTATCCGGACCGGCGGGGTGATTAACCCTGTGTTGTGCGCGCGGATTATGTAGTGCAGGGAGTCCAGGATACCCGAGAAGCGTCCGAGCGGGATGATATCTGTCAACGCGCGGGCAGAGACATTAAAGACGCCCATGATGGGTGTTCCTGTCACAGCTCTCCCGTTATAGCAGCCGATCTTGAGCAGCGCTTCGTCATGATAGTCAACATACTGGTCAATGCTGCGGCCCAAGACGCTCGGCCGGAAGATGACTGTCTTTCCACGGGTCGTGATGCCGGTCATCTGGTTGATGAGATCCATATTATGAGATCCAGGGGCATCCGTGATGTAGATGGGTCCTCCGCTGACGCAACGGGCAGCCGCGTGAAAGCCCGAGTAGTCATGAACGGTCTGGAACATGTCCCAGTCGGGCAAGATGTTCAGGTGCTGTGTAAACAGGCTGTTGTGAGCATTGGCCCAGATGTGCCAGGGATGCGACGAGGGGACCTCTGGGAAGAAGTCGTCCGAGTTCCTGCACAGGATGGTGGGCCTATTGCGCGGCAGCTGCGAGTAGAAGAGGATAGTCGGGGTTTGCGACATACAGCTGATGGCCTTGATGCTGAAATGACGAAGTGATGAGATCGTCCAAGCGTCCAGGTACTCTGTGATGAGCTCCCGTCGTGCTTTGGCGGATACCCAAGTGTCTGTCATGAATTGGGCATCCGTCTTCACCCCGTCGATGCCACACGACGACAGGAAGCGGTAGAAGTCGTCGTAGAATTTCTGCACGTCCTCCTTTGCCACAACGGTCATCTTGCCACCCAATGGAAGCCAACGGCGATTCTGGTCCTCTCGCACCACCACTTCGGTCTTATACTTCTTGGCCAGACTGCCATCGGGAGACAATCCTGCCCAATATCCCAACAGAGCATGCCACACAGCAACATGTTGAATGTGGGGGTGTCGATCCCTAATCTTTGTAACGACGTCCTTGAGGCCATTTGGAAAAGCTTTCGGTTCAGCCTGGGAATTCCTCGTCAGTGATATTTTCTGCAAACGCTGCCTGGGAGAAGGGAGATCCGTATACCTCAAAATCGTTCCACCCGTACTGAAACTGACCCTCACCCCGGTAGTCAATATTTTGCCAGTTGTCATCGATAATCAGACTGGTGACTTTGATGTTGTGTTTAGCCAGCTCGTCAACAGCGGTGAGAACTTTCTCATCTGTGAGCCTCTGGCCAAGAGCATTCCATGTGCCTTTTGCCGTGTCAGTAGTGTTACATGATGGCCAGATGCCCTTAGCCGAGACCGAGGCGATGGGATCGATACTCACAAAAGCCCAAGCCGTCATACCAATTCTCCATCCACTCCGGCTTCACGCCTTCCCGGAGAGCCTTGATTTCCTCGTCGAATTCGCCCGTCGACTTCTTGCTCGAGAGTACCAACGCGCGAGCTTGATACATGACGGCCGCATTTGCGCTCTCGAAGCTATGGCCGACGGCAGCCAGCACAGCACCAGGCTCTGAACTCTCACTGTCGTTTCTCAGGTGGAGCTGCACATTGCCAGAGTCGTCACTGCGAAAGGTCGCCATCACGTCATTGACACCACTGATAGCGAGAAGAACAAGATGTTGACCTTTCGAGTTGATGAATGCAGAGAGAACAGCCTCCTTGTCCAGCGAGAAGTGGGTTTTGCCATGTCTCGGTGCAATCCAAGGGGCCCAGATGCGAATCAGAGAGAACCACCTGGAGAAATGTCAGCCAAGACCTTCCAGACCCTTGTAGAACAGCGACTGATGCAGGTTTAGACATAGCGTTGCCCAACCGTTTGACAAAGAACGCGAGAATGGAGGTCAGAGAGTCTAGATGACATCTGAAGTGGAAGGCAAGCTTACCCGAGAAAGCCTCCCCAAGGCAGACCCAGGTTCACATCCGTGAATGTAGAGTCCTCGCCTTTCGCAGCATCTGCAGTGGCCGTCAACTCCCAGAGGCGTGTCCCTGGACACTGAGACGAGCGGGACTCGACGTTGATCCTGCCATCGTAGCCCTTGAGAATGCTAGTAAAGTCATCCGGCAGGGCACCGACTGTCAAGTCGCTGGTGACGATGATAGTTCCATCAGCCACGCCCTGTTCATCCCGAATCCATTTCCAGGGCTGGTCCGACCCGTGTCGAAATTTGACTGTGAAGTTCAGTCGTGGCTGCACGGAAATCTTGCCCTCGAACCAGAGACGGGCCACAGAGTCGTCGATGCTCTGCAAGGTGGATGGCGTCTTGTCAGTTGGGGACAATGCGGTCTCTACCCAGACATCGTCACCGGCTGCGTGCCACACAGCCACCTCCCAGGGCTGCTTGGCCTGGTCCGAGGGGACCTCGAGGAGAGCTGTGACCTGGACATCTTCCTTTTGCACCTGTGTTACCTGACCCAGAGGCGGGTAAACTGAGAGAGAAGCCCCCATGTCCTTGATGATGCGCTTCCTCTGTTTTGGGATGTGGTAGATGGACTCGTCATAATCTTCCTCAGGGGCAGTCATGATGGAGGATGAAAGTCTGAATAGTGGGATCTTATTCGAACTATGAAGAAGAAGGAAGAACAGAATGGGGAGCAGAGGAGTGTTGATTGTCCCTCTTGCCAGGTCGAGAAAGAGGGAGGAGAATCAGACTTTTGTAAGAACATGAACCATGCAGGCTATCCTGCAGCTGTTTGGATGCAGCACGTCTCCTCATGACATCGTGTTCAATGTTAGGTAAGAGAGCAGCAGTGTGACCTACTACGATCTTAGTATGTAGTACTTGCCTCCTCCTGCAGGCTACAACGGCACTGCGGGCAGTCTTCCGTCAAGAGAGAGAGGGGTTCAATTGTGCTAGCTTGCCTATCCCATCCAAGTACTACATGTACATAGTGCCACAGAGCGTGCAACCCGTAGCCACTCACATCGCTGAACCTCATATTACCTAATCGCTCTCCGTTCTTCAGGTACTCCCGTATCCCCTACCGTAAGGTCTAAGCTGGCAAACCTGACTAAGCATACGGCCGCCACGACCAATCAACAGCTTCATGATTCGGGTGTAATCGGGGCAGGGGTCAGGCTCTGCCTCAGGCCAGAGGCGACCCATTTCTTGCTGTGGCAGATTTTGGAGGAGCTCAGCCGACAAGTGTGGCCAGCAACCAGCCAACCAGACCAAGCTCAAGTGGGCGCGGCTTGCCGGAAGAGTAAACGTCGAGTTCGATTTTCTTGACGACGATTAAACGCCTCAATTCCCGACCTCCACACTCACCCAACCAACCCTCCCCTCCCACCACCACCATCAAGCCCGGTCTCCAGGTGTTCCCCGACCGCAGCCAGGTCAAGGACAAAGAACTCGACCTGAACCTTTTCACCTGATCCCCATCGACTCCCCTCCAAGATGGCATCCCGGAGACTCGCTCTCAACCTTTCCAAGGGCCTCACCCGGAGGGCATACCCTTCAGCCCCATTGAGGCGCACCTTTGCGACCCCCGTCTCTGCGCCCATCAGGACCCAGACGACCACACTCAAGAATGGCCTCACCGTCGCTACCCAACATTCACCGTACGCCCAGACCTCTACCGTGGGCATGTGGATCGATGCGGGCTCGCGAGCCGAGACAGCGGAGAACAATGGCACTGCGCACTTCCTCGAGCACCTGGCCTTCAAGGTATGGATCAATTGAGCCTGCTGGGCGCGTCTGAAAGAATGTGAAGGAAGGACTGCTTGCTGATTTTTTGCTTGTTTGACAAAAAAAAGGGTACCTCCAACCGGACACAACAGCAGCTCGAGCTCGAGATTGAGAACATGGGCGCCCACCTCAACGCCTACACCTCGGTATGTCGTCACATCATACGATACCTTCATGTAGTAGTCTCTGACAGCAGCGCAGCGCGAGAACACCGTCTACTTCGCCAAGGCCCTCAACGAGGACGTGCCACAATGCGTCGACATCCTCGCCGATATCCTCCAGAACTCCAAGCTCGAGGAGGCTGCCATTGAGCGCGAGCGTGATGTGATCCTGCGTGAGTCGGAGGAGGTCGAGAAGCAGATTGAGGAGGTCGTCTTTGACCACCTGCACGCCACCGCCTTCCAGCACCAGCCTCTCGGCCGCACCATCCTGGGCCCCAAGGAGAACATCCGCGACATCACCAGGACCGAGCTCTCCAACTACATCAAGCACAACTACACTGCCGACCGCATGGTCCTCGTTGGTGCTGGTGGCATCCCCCACGAGAAGCTTGTCGAGATGGCCGACAAGTACTTTACCAAGCTGCCCTCCAAGTCCCCCGAGACCCACGCCTACCTGCAGTCCAAGAAGAAGCCCGATTTCATTGGCTCTGACGTCCGGATACGTGACGACACCATCCCCACTGCCAACATTGCCATTGCTGTCGAGGGTGTCAGCTGGAACGACGATGACTACTTCACTGCTCTGGTCGCCCAGGCGATCGTTGGAAACTACGACAAGGCCATGGGCAACGCTTCTCACCAGGGAAGCAAGCTGAGCGGTTTTGTCCACAAGAACGACCTGGCCAACAGCTTCATGAGCTTCTCCACCAGCTACAGCGATACCGGGTAAGCCCCTTCCCATCTCTCCGCTTTTAGCATTATACACAACTCAAGACCAAAAGAAAAAGAAAATTGCTGACTCGTGTGGTTGTGTGTGTGTGTGTGTGTGACAGTCTCTGGGGCATCTACCTCGTCACCGACAAGAAGGAGCGTATCGACGACCTCGTCCACTTCGCCCTCCGGGAGTGGACCCGCCTGTGCCAGTCCGTGACTGAGGCCGAGACCGAGCGTGCCAAGGCTCAGCTCAAGGCCTCCATCCTCCTGTCTCTGGATGGCACTACTGCCCTGGCCGAGGACATTGGCCGCCAGATCGTCACCACCGGCCGACGGACGAGCCCCGGCGAGATCGAGCGGATCATCGATGCCGTGACCGCCGAGGATGTCATGGCCTTTGCGCAGAAGAAGATCTGGGACCAGGATATCGCCATCTCCGCCGTCGGCAGCATCGAGGATTTGTTTGACTACCAGAGAATCAGGGGCAGCATGAGCAGGATGTTCTCTTGAAACAACAGAAACAGAGAATCGGAAGCCGGTTGGCAGAACAGGCAAGCAAGCATGATAAATGAAAGAGAGCGAGAGAGCGGGCGAGAAGTAGCAGGCCGGGGGTGGGAGAACGAAGGGAGGAAGCTGGTCACGTTGCTTGTATAATATCTTTGTGAAAGACTACGGGTCGGGTTGTACTGTAGTATGGAGGGGGTAGACATAGAATCGAAGGGGTTTGGTCTTCGTACCAAAGAACGAAAAGGAGACCGCCGAAGAAGAAGAAGAAGAAGAAGAAGAAGAAAAAATAAGCAAGATCCTCTATTCTCTTTGTCCAAACCAAAACAATTGCAAGGTTCAAGATATGGCTTGTATTTATTCATCTATGACTGGTTTGGAGGAGGAGGAGAAGGATGATGGGATGTAGTAGCCTGAAAGAGAGGAAGAGGAGGTTACAAAGGGCAATGGAACATATACTCTCATGTCATGACCATTCATGTCCACAAAAATGCCCCTCAAGTGGGAAGGTGAAGAGGAAGACGAGATGGTTTCCCCTGTGGGAGCTGACTGCGTGATATCTCCTGTATGCATTGTACAATAGTACAGAGGGAAAGCACACATACGAAGAGATGAAACAACTCGGTCTCTGAAATTACATGGCAAAATATACATACAGCCTCCGCTAGACATATTCCAACAACACCAACACCACCAGACACACAGACACACACACACCTTATGCCTCCTGAGCCACCTCCCCTCCCCCCTTTACCTCACCCCCCTTTTCCTCCGCCTCTGTATACGCAGGCGGAGGCAACCCTTCCCCCCCTTCCACCCAGACCTGCGCCAGCTCCTTCTCAATCTCATCCCGCCGCCTCTTCCACTCCTCGACCTTGGCCAGCCTCTCGCGCAGCTCCTGCAGCTCTCTCTCGACGTGCATCTTCTCGCGCTCCGTGCCGATTCTCTCAAACTCCCACTGGTCGCCGGCCTCGCCCAGGCCGAGCACGAGGTTGAAGGTGTGGTATTTCTTAAGAGAGGCGCGGGTGGAGATGGTGATGAGTGCTGTTTTGTTTTTTTTTGGTTTGCGTGGTTAGCCAGAGAGAAAACGTTGTGCTTCAACCACTACTATCTTGGTGTATTCATCAACAGACAGGGCAGGCAAAAACAAATCTCCAAAAAAAAAAAAAAAAAAAAAAAAAAAAAAAAAAAAAAAAAACTTAAAAAACTTACTTATTCCCTTCTCCTTGCATGTCTCATAAAGCAAGCCCTCCACATCAGAACTGACGGCGCTCGTGCCCTCGTCGATAAAGGCGTACTGCGGCTCATGATACAGCAGGCGCGCGATGGCCATGCGCTGCTTCTCGCCGCCGCTCAGCACGTCCTTCCACTCCTTCTTGGTGTCCCAGCCGCCCTCGCGGTCGGGCAGGTAGCCGAGGCGCGCGGCCTCGAGGATGTTCTTGAGCTCGTACTCGTTCCTCCGCTTGGCGCGCATGTCGGCCTCGCCGTCTGGGTAGATGACCTGGTCGCGCAGCGTGCCGACGCTGAGGTAGGGCCGCTGGGGGAGGAACATGATGCCGTCCTCGCCGTTGGCCTTGGGGCGGGACACCAGGCCGCGGTAGACGGGCCACAGGCCGGCCAGGATGCGGGCGACGGCGCTCTTGCCGACGCCGTTGGAGCCCGAGATGAGCAGGTGCTCGCCGCGGCGGACAATGAGGCTGAGCGAGTCCACGAGCTCGTCGCCGCCCTGGGGCCACAGCGCGGGCGCGACGACGGGCACATGCTCGAGGCGCACGCCGTCGAACCCGCGCTGAATGGTACCCTGCACGTCGGACAGGGCGTACAGCTCGCCGCCCGAGGCGCGGGCCGGGTAGGCGCCGGCGTGAACGCGGTGCAGGGTGGCGATGAGGGTGTAGACGCGCGAGGTGTAGCCCGCCAGCTCGGACAGGTCCTTGATGCTGTACATCATGCGCCCGCCCGCGTCGGCGAGCGAGAGCATCAGGCGCTTGTTGGTGATGAAGTTGCCCATGCGCGAGCGCTCGCGGCCGCCCTTCTCGGACGGCTCCAGCAGCTCCGAGGCGCCGCCCAGGCCGCCCCAGGCGGGCAGGAAGACGGGCAGGGACGCCAGCAGGTAGCCGTAGGCGGACCAGCTGTACTTGAGGATGAAGTCCTCGAGGATGTTGTAGCGGATCTTGAGCATGTAGATGCCCTCCATCCAGGTCTTGAGCGACCGGAACTCGCGGTTCAAAAAGTGCTTCTCCATGTCGGCGCCGCCGTAGAAGGCCACCTCCTCGGCATTGGCTATCAGCCTCGCGTGCAGAGAGCGGAAGTCCCCTTCCTTGGCGCCCTCGACCGCCTTGAGCTTGCCGAATGGAGGGGAGAGCCGGCGCAGGATGGAGGCTGTGAAGAAGTAGTTGCTCAGGAGACCGGTCAGGGCGAGGGGCCCGAGGGACCGGTAGAGCTGGTAGTTGAAGACGCAGATGTCCACGAACGGCTTGCCTAGGGACGAGTAGAGGTTGGCCGCCGAGGCGCAGAAGAGGGTCAGGTCTTGGGTGATGTACTGGTCGGCGCCCTGGCCCACGCCGCCGTCCAGGTTGGAGAGCTTGTAGTAGTTGAGGTTGTCGTTCAGGTACAGGTCGTGGATGTACCGGGTGAGCCTGGTGCGGAAGGCGATGGACACCTTGGACTCGAGGAACTTGATCATGGCGTTCACATACGAGGCAAAGCCGCCCAGGCCGCACCACTTCACGATGCCCCAGAGAAACAGCCTGCCGTTGCCAGCGACGAGGTCGCGCACAATCTCGCCGTCCAGCCGCGCGACCACGAGGGACAGGTACGTCCGCAGCATGAGGAACACGCCGTGGCTCACCAGAAGCCCTGCCTCCTTGCTGGTCCACCTGGGGAGCATGATGCTCATCAGGCTCAGGAACTGGTGCAGGAAGGCCAGGTTCAAACCTGGCTTCGTCTGGGCACCGGGAACCGTGCCGTCGGCGAGGCCAGACACCCTGGGCGGATTCAGGAACAGGCGGCGGTGGGCCTCAAAGGTCAAGGGCTTGGTGGTGTTGATGATGACCTTGGAGGTGCCGTCTCTGTAGGGCACGTAGATGGTGCGCGAGCCGTCCTTGTTGTGCACCCACGAGTTGGTGCGCACCAGCTTGACGCCCTGCTCCCTCTCGAAACGCCGCCTCCTCCATCGCCTGCGCGAGCCCTCAGCGCCGAGCACGATGGACGACAGGAGCGCGAGAGTTGCGAGGAGCCTCGTCGTGCGCGATGTCTGGCGCAGGCGCGTGCGGAGCAGGGTGGTATATTTGTCGACGAACCCGAGGATGGCCGCCTCGGCGGCGGAATGCCGCAGTGTTGACTGCGTGGCCATTGGTACGGGGCGCAGGAAGCGAGTCAAAACAACAGAAAACAGCGAGCGCTATCGTGCCATCGGAGGGGGTTGGAGGAGTTGGAGCACCTTGCGACAGGATCCGTTCACGAGCCTCGGTGGTCACAGTGTCGCGACGAGGATCGGGTCACAGCCGAAGGAGGCCGGACCGAGTGCGTAATTTGGGGACGATGTACTGGTATGGCACAAGCTCTCAGGTGTAACTGTGTTGGGTGATGTATCCAACCATGAAGCTGATGAGGGAATTGGAATCTCGAGCTCGAGAAAGGACGACTTGTTGTGTTGTCGACGGCAATGAAGAATTTCCGAAGTCACGAACCATCATTATCCGGTAGAGGTTCTAGAGTTGACGAGGTTTCTGGCATGTGATTCATCCCACTAGCTAACCAAACCAACCACCCCCACCCCTCTCTCCCGCCTTCCTTCCCTTCTGAAAGCTACCTACCATACATGCTAAAATACCACTATAGGGCAGCGCTATAGTGGCCGTGGCCTTTCCCCAGAAAACGCTTCGCCTCACCTCGGGTATGCAAAGTCCGGGGAAGACCAGGGTGTCTTTATGTCTTGTAATCTTTTGGTTACAAGGAAGAAAGTAAAAAGAGTCTTCCGAGGTTCAACGCACGACGGATAGAACATATCCCCAGCAAAGTTTCAGAGTGAAGTTTTGCTTATTTTGCTTTGATTTCTTTCTTGTTTCTCCTGATTTGAGAGACATTCATTCGTAATCCCAGGGCCCTGCTCATCATACCTCCTCTGGCACACCTAAGTTAGGCTGTGGCCGTCAGGAATAAGCAAAAGATCAGGACAGAGAAAGTTCAAGCTTGAAACAACCTTGTCTCCTATTTTCCTGTGTGTCTTGTTTCTGTTTGTCTCCATGAGAGACCAAAGTTTGAGATGCCACAGTACAGCAAACAGACAGACAGAACAAGTAGATGGACGGAGAAGAGAAGAGACGGGCGTTATATTCCTGATGTGGCCTTGTTCCCCGTTGGCAGGGCGAGAGCTGTCTTGACTCGTGGGCACATACACACCGGTTGGGACACCCTGCCTAGGCTGCCCTATTTGGTTCGACCGCCACTGTCACTTGTCCATGTCGCAGTCACACAGCGATTACTCGAGTATGTCCTCATCCTGGTTGAGAACTTGGGAACACACATCTGAACACACACTTGGGGGAACTGGCGAGGATATGTGCAAGGAGGGCTCCATTGATCGACCACCTGGGGCTGTTCCCGCCCATGCGTGTGAACGAGAGATGGATCGGGGGGTGTTGCCCGGATTGCCACTCTTTTCCCGGGCGCCAACAGGGCCAATCAATCCCACCCATCCATACTTGTTGGTGTGTGTCTGCTGCGGGAACGGGACGGCCATGTCCCATCCACCCTGCCACCCAAGTCGTTGCACGCGGGCTTGGGGCAGCTTGTCAGGATGTGTACCGGAATCCTGGTTGGAATTCACGCGAGTGGCTGCATCGTCTGACGGCATTACCTAGTTAAGAGCTCAGAACCAGGACCTCCCTCCCCTGCCTGGACCCAAAAAAGAGGGACGAGGCAACTGGTCAGCCTGGGGTGGGAGTGGCTGCAGAGCCTCCTCTCCCTCTTTTCCCTCCCTCATCCACTTTTCCCACACACCTCCTCTCGAGACTACCAGGGAGGGCACCCAATGAAACCTACGTTACTATACCACGGTAGTATGTACTAGGTCCCACTGGAAGAGGACGAGGTAGAAGAGGAAGAGAACAAGAAGAAGAGCAGATCACGGTTGTGTAGCTCCAAGCCTTGGTGTGTGTGTGTGTGTGTGTGTGTGTGTGTGTGTGTGTGTGTCTCTCTCTCTCTCTCCCCGGCTGTGCCGTCGTCTCCGCTGTGCGTGGAACCTCGTGTGTGGAATCGTGCATACGCCGTCCCGGGCTCTCTCTCTCTCTCTCTCTGACGAAGCTGACAAGCCGCCTGTCTGCTGATTGCCATCTACCGCCATCGTGCTACGGTACCACTCCTGCCCCTTTCTCTCTGTCCTCCAGGCTTGTGTTTATGTCTGTAGAACATTCAAATGAGTCAACCATACCACGGTGAATTCTGTTGTTTTAGAATCTACATAAAAGAGATGACCGATCCTGACCTCGTCCTTGGGTCGCGTCCCGTTCCAAGGAAGAGGAAGAAGAAGAAAGAGAGGAAGGGGGTGAGGACATCATCTCACAGAAAGAATGGCCGGCTTTCCTTTCCCAGGACAGGAATTAAATCACTCTCGAAGCTAATCAGCGATCTGGTATAGCGTGGTCTGTCGATGAAGCGGACAATACTTTTGTTGACAGGGACTAACAGCTTGTGCGCGGAAATATCGTGGTAGCACTGGGCCGTCGTCATTTCCCAACACCCATCCGAGCTGTTCCTTCACGCCTGGGCGCTGTACCTTTTCCACTCCTCTCTTTCTCTCTTTTTCCTTCCCCATCGCGCAGGGACTCTGTCAAATCTCCTTTGCTGGGTACCGTTACTGTGCTGATGATATTATATCATATCTTTTTGGGTCTGTGGTTTTGTGGCGTGGCTCCCTTGTCATTGTCAGATCTCGTCTCTTGACCCGGCATACTTGATTCGCTCAATCTCTTCTTGCCTGTCCTCTCCTATTTCTTTTCTGCGTTGCCTTTTCCAAGGTTTCTTCTTCCCTATTCTAGTTCGTTTTGACTTCATTCTTTTCTCATGTGAAATTTGTCCCGAATACGGATCGGTCAGACCAGTGGATCGAGGGATCAACAGCGCTGAAGGAGAAAACCAATCCACATCCTTAGAAGCTACTTATCGCACTATGGTCCTATGGCACAGCACCAGAAGCCCCTCGGGCCAGGGTAGAGTATCATCGAACCTGAAATAACCCAATCTGAAGGAGTTCATTAGCGGCCCCACTAAATGTAGAAGCGCCAATCCTCATTGGGCAGCCCAGGACCATGGACCTCCCAAGGGCCTTACAGGGGGGGTCCTTCGATCAGTTGGGGGGGGGTGAGGAGAATACGCTGGCGGCGCGACCTTGGGAAGCGAAATTGCAGACGCCCGCTCTTCAGCCTCCAGTGCCCCATTCTGGCACTCCATTGCACACGCCCTGATCCGGCCCTGCTGTAGACGCTGCCCTGTACCGCACCGTACCCATACTGCCACTGCTCTCTCTGCCTGTACACGCTGCACGACACACAGCACGGCATATCACTACACCGCACTGCGCTGCAGCAGAAGCCCTGCACTTCCCAGCACTGCACTGCTCGGCATCGCACTGCACCCTACCCACACCTATACCCTGCCTTGCCTTGCCTCACCCCTTCTTGACCCGACCGACCTACGATCTACTACCCTCTACCCTTCCTCCCCCCCCCCAAAAAGCTCCTTTCTCTTCCTGCAACCCAACCCAAACCCAACCCAAATTACAACCTTTCTTCCCACCCCTCCGGCCTCGATCCTGGCAGACCAAGCCGGCGCCGTGCGATTTATTCCTTTCTTGCCCAAGGTCAATTCTGCGGCCAGCCTTGCCCTGCCCTTGAACCGACCTGCGCTGCGATCGGCCGTTCACTCATTCCTCGTCCCGTCGAGAATTGCTTTCTGGTATCTTACGATACGATATAACGACAACTTCACCGACGACCTTTGAGGGTTTTCCGCCTCTCACCTCCTATTTTCTGGGCGCTCGATCGCCGTGGCTGGCCTTTCCGACCGAGAACGTCTCCTGATCAGTCCAGCGACCTCCTCAAGTGTGCTCTCAACCATCTACGTTGGCTCTTGTCCGCTGAGTTGCCATCCTGCTCTGCATACGGCCGTCACGAACGCCCACGACGTCGCCGATACGCCGATTGGCCTGTACGGGCCATTTGCCGCCGGAACCACTCAGGAGGATCTTATAGAGGAGGGCAAGAGGCTTCAGCTGAATCTGACTTCAAGCAGACGTGCGTCACACACTCTCTCTTCCTTCTAGTCATCCCCCATCCAACACCTGCTGGCGAAAGACGGGCCCTCCGTTTGTCGGCTTGCTGGCTCGCCTCCCCATGCGAACTCCAGTTCACCGCGAATGTCCGTGATCTGCGCCACTGCCGACCGACTGTCCTCGTGAAGCTGACAACTTGGGGCGGTCGGGGCCATATTTCCCCCATCCTCCTTGTCGCGCGGAACTACGTTCTCTCTTGTCTCTCTCTTACATTGTCCCTCTCATTCCCCTGGATGCTGACCAACCCGAACCCCAGGCCGAATCCCACCTGCCCGCGTCGATCCTACCCACCCGCAGAGCCCAAAACTCAGCGACATGTCCCGAGACCTGCTCGAGAAAACCCAGAACCAGGAAAACTCGAGAGATATCGACACTTCGTCCGCAGAGGAGGGTCCAACCGCCACCAAGAGGAGTAGGGGTCTGTTGCACGTGCCGTCGAGGTCCTCGTCCCAGAAGAACCAGCCGTCGCCCACTGCGAGCGGGCTGAGCGGCGTTACTGCGAGCGAGTCCAGGGAGAGCTTCGGCGACCGCTCCAAGGGGTCCAAGGCGAGCATCATGGGTCGCCATAGGAATGGGAGCGCCTCCAGCAATCGGTCGGCTGTCGAGACCGCTCAGACCGCCACCTCGGCTACCGCGAACGCGCCTGTACAACAGAAGAAGAAGAAGGGGGGTCTGCTCTCGCTATTTTGCTGCGGTGTCCCCGACGATGCGAACGCCCTTGACAACGAACCCGCTGATGTCCCTGGCCACAAGGTCGACAAGCTGCCGCACCGGCCGCGGACGGCCAGCCGGAGACAAACGCCGTCAGAGCACGGCGGTAGCAAGGCGCAGCTGACAGAGAAGGATGCGCTGGCGGCTCAGACCGGTGCCGACTCCTCCAAAGCGAATCGGGCGTCGTTGGGTCCCACCGTTCAGGACCCGCCAGCGCCGGCTGAGGAGCCAACGCAGGTAGCGCCCACATCTCCGGCGGGCCCAACCGTGACCGTCCAACCCCCTCCACAGGAGGCCGTCGTGCCCGGTCCAGCGGGGCGCCAGGTCCACGATAAGGATGACGACGGCGATATCCCGATGGCGGACGCGGCAGTGATCTCGCCGACAGAGCCTGTGGTCCAGCCTATGGACGTGGACGACTCGCAAGGCCTGCCCCCCGCACCACCCATGCCAGCGGCGCCCAGCCCGCCTCAGGATGCCGATGAGAGCCTCGTCGCTGTAGCGCCCGACCTGCCCCAGCAGGAATGGCTGCTGCCTCCAATACAATCCCACCTGAAAGGCAGGAAGTGTCTGGTTCTCGATCTGGATGAGACCTTAGTGCACAGCTCGTTTAAGGTAAAGAATCCTCAACCGCCCCCTGGGTTTCCTTCTTGGCACTTGCTGGACCCGTCTTGAGACTGACTTGCTCGCAGATACTTCACCAGGCCGACTTCACCATACCAGTAGAGATTGAGGGCAACTACCACAATGTCTACGTCATCAAGCGGCCGGGAGTCGATCAGTTCATGAAGAGGGTTGGAGAATTGTATGAGGTCGTCGTCTTCACGGCGTCAGTGTCGAAAGTACGTCTGCTTCGGTCGTGATAACTAGTCCCCCCCCCATACTAGAAGGGCTACGCTAATGTTGAACCTCACAGTACGGTGACCCCCTACTGGACCAGCTTGACATTCACGGCGTCGTCCACCACCGACTGTTCCGGGAAAGCTGTCATAACCACGGCGGCAACTACGTCAAAGACCTTTCCAAGGTTGGCCGGGATCTGAAAGACACCATCATCATCGACAACTCACCCACATCCTACATTTTCCATCCTCAGCATGCTGTGCCCATCAGCAGCTGGTTCTCGGATGCGCATGACAACGAGCTTCTAGATTTGATACCCGTCCTCGAAGATCTTGCCGGAGCGAATGTCCAAGATGTGAGCCTTGTCCTCGACGTGACTCTTTGAGAGAGTCTACCTCAAGCCTTCTTTTTTACAATTTTCTTTTTTTATGTCTATAATACCGCCACCAACACCTACCTGCACAACGTTCAAAACAAAACAAACACGAAATGCACACCTCTCTTCCATCAGTTCGACAGCAGTGCACAGCGCAAACTCATTACGCCAAATGTCAGACTTTTTTTTCGGCTTGGCTCAATCATAGCGGACGGCGTTGGGAGACTGCATCACCGGCCGAGGTCGGTGTAGACCTACTGTTTAATACTCATAAATAGTAAGGCTCTCGCAGTGAAGATCTGCCAGCCTGAAGCAACAACGGAGAGAGGTGGGTGGGCGGCGGGTTGGTTCGCGATGGGAGCGGGAGCGAAAGCCAATGCGCCTGAGGTCGACGCTTCTGGGGATGAAAGGAAGAGCTTGAAGCGAGCGAAGAGAAGGGACTTTCGGGAGATAGACGTCATGGATGACTCGAGAGACCCGAGAAAGGGAAGGAGGGAGGAGAGTAAGAGACACTGACCACGGCTGGTCATGATCTTATTCGAGCGAAATTCTTCTCAAATGGCGATTCAGGATGACGAAAATCTGAAGGGAATCCGGCCAGGCTCTGCCCGCTCTTCACCTCGCCAGCAGTGGAAGCACTCTATTATTTCGAGGAAAAGGAGGAGTCAGCAACCAGGCGGCTTATGGCTTTCGTTGTTTCTGTTGCGACTTTTAGGGGCTTTTCTTATCTTTTTCTTCTTATTTTTCTTCTTTCTTCTTGCAAGCCGAAGAAACCACCCCAGCCACCCATCACCACCACTACTACTACTACCACCACCACCAACACTTTTCTGATTCTGTTTCATTTGTCGCACCACCTCTTCTACCTAAACACATTGTCCGGGCACCACCAGAACCATAGCTGCTGTTTTGATTTTCCAGCTTTTTACATATATATCGGAGCATGAGGAAAGAAAGGGGAGGAAATTAAGAGATTGGGGAGGAGAGAGGAAAGAGGAGGTACAAAATAGCTGTCTGCGAGCAGACAGCTAGGCAGACAGACAAATATGGAGTTGGAGAAATTGATAGCGTTTCTGCTGAATTGCTTCTTGATGCCATGTGCTACATTTCTGTTCTTCCTTTGTTGTTAATATTCATTCTTATATTACTTTCTATCTTCTGAAAAGAGAAACAATAAGGGTGTATGAATGTTGTCGTTGGTGGGCTGGGCTGTTAACTCATAAACAGGGATACAAGCATCACGAATGAGGCCATGATTGTAAGGCTAAGGAGGATCGTGTGCGTGGAGAGATAGGAATCACAATCAGTCCTCCTCTGGAGAAGGTCTGCCTTTGATGAATTCTATCATTGATCATGGCAGTACGTGGGGTGGATTCCAGGACATGCGAAACCGGACTTGAGGTCCTGACTACTTCACATCTATGAAGAGGAAGCAGCATCAGCAGCACCTCCCTACAAGCCTTAATGTCTCATGACTGGATCTCAACCAAGAGACACAGGCCGCCCCCCTCCCCCCCCCCCACCCTTTCTCCTAGGTAGTAAAAAAAAAAGATTCCAGTCTGATTTCCCTTATGTCAAATTGGAAAAAAGGGACCCATTCATCCAGGTACTAACTCACTTTATGAGTGTCTCCATACTGGAACTCAGATTTAGGACTTGCAGGGGGGACCTGGGGAGGAGGAGAAGTTGTAGTTTATTAGACGCGGCCAGATCGGACGAACGAAGCTCGGCTGAGGAAAGGACAATCAATGTACGATTGATTTGATTACCTGCATTTGCTTGGGTGTGTCTTGCAGCAGCTAGGTTTAGTAGTACATGGGTAGGCCTGTGCAGCTGGGTACAGTAGGTGGTCCCAGCGCTCTCTTTTTGTCCTGTTTCCCTTGAGGCTTCCCTTCCCCTGTAGCGTCTACACTCAAGCTGGCGTGGCCTGCCTGCCGCCGGCAAAGCACCTTACCCCAGTCCCTGTGGGTGGTGGTATTAGCAGTGTATTAGCTAGCTACAACCAGACAGGCCGGGGCTCCAATTGAACACCTGTTTTCAGGGACTGCCACTGGATTTCAATTGAGGTTTCGTGAGAGAGGAGAGCCATCAACTATCCACACGACACACACACTCAGCACAACATCCTATCCTAGGATTATTTTCTCTCTCTCTGCGCCACTCCTTCTTTCTTCTGTATCTAACGGATTGATTGACATACTACTTCTTTTTACGTCCTTTTTTAATTCTCACATTACCGCTGGTCAAAATGGTATGCTTGCGCGCCTCTGATTTCCTTGCCCCGAGAGGGAGAGAGAGAGAGAGAGAGAGAGAACAACTTGGATCGCCGCACAGCATCTCAAGCTCGAGAAGTCATCATCGACGGTTCTCTCTCCTCTCCTCATCTTCCTCAACCTCCCATCACCCGTTCCCCTCGCCCTAGAGCATCCCTTCCCCAACTCAGAGCTCCAAAACCTCGTCAAATCGCTAACGCGTCCATCGAAACATAACAGTCTTCTCCCCGCCCAACCTCCCCACTGAACTCCCCACCCGCATCGGGTGCCGCCACGGGAGCTCGCCCAGAATCGCCTCCCCCGCCGGGTGGTGCGCGCGCCGTGATCCGCCGCCGGGCTGCGGCCGACCAGAAGGAGAAGGTGGCGAGCGCGAGACCGAACAGCACGCGGGCGGCGGGAGCTGGTGGGAGCAGCAGCACTATGTTGAGTATGTCCTGTCATCTTTGGGCCCCTGGAGCAGAGAGGAGGAGGAGGAGACAAGGGAGGGGACGAGAGGCGTTGTGAAGAGAGAATGCTGTGCTGCGGAGAGGCTCCTTGGGAGGACACACAGCCTTGTCTTGGCGGACTGGAGTGAGCTCTGATCGCCAACTTGCGCTGGAGGCGAGACGGGGGTGTTGTTGATATCTACGATGTGTGAGCTCGGTTGGCTAACATTGCTGCGTGCTATAGGACTCTACACCGACGAGTCTCCCGGTCTGAAGGTCGATCCCGTGGTCGTCCTCGTTCTGTCCCTGGTCTTCATCTTCAGCGTGGTCGCTCTGCACAGTATGTCGATAGAGGCCTCCTTTCGAGACGATTTAGTATAGGGGCTCAGCTAACGGTCTTGAAACAGTCATTGCCAAGATCACCCGCAAGTTCTCCAGCTAGACGAAAAGCCGATCGATATGGAAATGGGAACGCCGAGGATGGGGATATTGCTATGGAGAATCGAGAAGAGAGAAAATATGATGCTACTGTTGTCAAGGTAGTGGGGCTGCTTGGGAAAACGCGGCCGGCCTGGACGGTACGATACGATTCGGGACAAGGCGAGAATCGCTTGTAATGTCGCTCTGCAGCAGCGATTATACGGCGAGACTGTCTATTTTTGGCCCTGGCTTGCTATCCTACGAAGAAAGAAAAACCATCTTGCTCCTTTGCGGCGTCGGGGCTACTTAAGGGGGGTGATTGATCAATCGGACTTGCATTCGGATTATCAAATGCTGTGTGTTTGTCCGCTGATTCTCCTGCATCATGCAAAACTAATATTGTATGCGATGCCTGACGTTCAAACTGTCCACCCACTGACCACTGCCACATAATAGCCGCTATGCGGTGCGCGCCTTTTGCCTCGTGTAAGTTTTATGCTCGAATGTCTTTGCCGCCACCAGGGGCTGTGAACCCCCAAGATCCGCTTTATCGAGGAGTTGGGTGGGTTGCTTGATTGGCTTGGCTCGTCTTGCGGCAGCGGCCAAGGATACAGGGACTGGTACTTCCCCCCCGCGCCACCAGAAACGTCGTCATCGGGTGTGCCCTTTAAGTCTAGAGCTCGGATTGTAGCAGCAGCAACTGACTGTTTGAACTTCAAGATACTCATCTGAGAAATTCAATCAAATTATTACAAACAGATATTTTTAAACTTGTTTATTCTCTCTTGACTGGGTGAATGTCTCCTTTGTGGACTTGACTCGTACAGTTGTTACAGTATTGAACCTCGTTCACGCATCTTAACCTCATCTTTTCTTCCTTCCCTCTCCTCACTTCCCGGGCAATCGACACTATTGAAGCTTCTTTTTATTTTTATTTTCTCTTATCGACATCACAACCTGGGTAGCCTTGCTTATTCTTCTTTCACACATGGAGACGGCACCAGTCTAATACAGACAACCTGTCTATTACCATCAATCGTCCCAGTCTCTCTCGCTCAAGTCTCTCATCACCTTTGACTTGACGTGACCTACCAACGACGACCTCGATCACCACCGCCACCATGGATAAGAGAACAGCACCTACATCTGGCTCGTCTGCCGTAAAAACATCGACCACTGATGGCCCAAACCTGGCTGAACTTGCTGGCAGCAGCCCTCTGGACCTTGGAGCCAACGAAGATGCGCCTCCAGCATACGGCGAGCTTCATAACCAGTTGAACCTCTCACAGGCGGGGTTCAATGCCAACGCCTCCATTACAGGTATGTTTCTTTTCTTGGGCAATCACTTGGCGAAGAGAGGTAACCGACATCAGAGACGGTGTCTTGCTAACAATGTCTCTCTGCACTCACACAGACGATGGCCGTATTCGCATCAATATCAACCAGACCGATGGCACGCTGGCTGATCTCCTGGCTCCGGCCCTTATACGAAGCCAGGCTCTTCCCTCTGAGAAGTCTTCAGAGCCGCTCCCGCCAGCATACATCCCGCCCAGCCTCGGTGGCCGGCCTGGACAGGAGCCCCCTCCGAAGCTGAACGTGGTGATTCAGATCGTTGGCTCGCGCGGTGATGTCCAACCCTTTGTGGCCTTGGGCAAGGTGTTGAAGGACACATATGGCCACCGCGTTCGCGTCGCCACCCATCCTGTGTTCCGGACCTTTGTGGAGGAGAACGGCCTCGAGTTCTTCTCCATCGGCGGGGACCCGGCCGAGCTCATGGCCTTCATGGTGAAGCACCCAGGGCTCATGCCGGGCTTTGACGCGGTCAAGAGCGGCGAGATCGCCAAGCGGCGGAGGGGCATAGAGCAGATCGTGCTGGGCTGCTGGCGGAGCTGCGTTGAGGCGGGCGACGGCCTGGGTCCGCCACCAGAGCCGCACCAGAGCGGCGAGCCCCTGAGCTCCTTCACGAATGGCGACTATACCTTGCCTGGCGACACTGGCAGCAAGCCCTTTGTGGCCGACGCCATCATCGCGAATCCGCCCAGCTTCGCACACATCCACATCGCCGAGAAGATGGGCATTCCCCTTCACATGATGTTCACCATGCCTTGGACGGCTACCAAGGCGTTCCCTCACCCGCTGGCCAACATCGAGAGCTCCAACGCCGAGGTAGTCATGACCAACTGCGTCTCGTACGCCATGGTTGAGATGATGACCTGGCAGGGGCTGGGCGATGTCATCAACCGCTTCAGGACCAAAGTGCTGGACCTGGAGCCGCTGAGCCTGATCTGGGCGCCGGGCCTGCTGACCAGGCTTCAGATTCCCACCACGTACTGCTGGAGCCCGGCCCTGATCCCCAAGCCCACCGACTGGGGCCGGGAGATCAGCATCTCGGGCTTTTACTTCCTCGATCTGGCCACCTCGTACACGCCCGCCCCAGACCTGGCTGCCTTCCTTGATGCCGGCCCGCCCCCCATCTACATCGGCTTTGGATCCATCGTCGTCGACGACCCCAACAAGCTCACGCGCATGATCTTCGATGCCGTCACCATCGCGGGTGTGCGCGCCCTCGTGTCCCAAGGGTGGGGCGGGCTGGGCGCCGACTCGGTGGGCATCCCAGACGGCGTCTTCATGCTCGGTAACTGCCCTCACGACTGGCTCTTCAAGAAGGTCTCGTGCGTGGTGCACCACGGAGGCGCAGGCACCACAGCTGCGGGAATCAAAACGGGCACACCCACCGTCGTTGTGCCATTCTTTGGTGACCAGCCCTTCTGGGGCAGCATGATCGCCCAGGCTGGCGCAGGGCCCAAGCCCGTCCGGTACAAAGACCTGACCGCCGAGATCCTGGCCGAGATGATCACCTCTGCACTGCAGCCCGAGACGCAGGCGCGAGCCAAAGAGCTGGGTGAGAGGATCAGGGCCGAAAAGGGAGCCGACGTCGGGGCCAAGAGTTTCCACGACTTTCTGGACTATGACAAGCTGCGGTGTTCTGTCGCCCCGAGCCGCATCGCCGTGTGGAGGGTCAGGAGGACACAGGTGCGGCTGAGCGGGCTGGCCGCTGCAGTGCTGGTGAAGGAGGGGTTGTTGCAATATACGGACCTCAAATTGTAAGTCTGTTTGCCTAAACCCTCTCCTTCTTACTTTGAAACCCCCATACATATGTGTGTGTATACTAACATGTAGAATGTGCTTTACTTTTAAAGGTATCGCCCTAATGAGTACAGCACGGAACAACAGCCCTGGGACCCCATCACGGCCGTCACAAGCGCCCTCGTCGGTGATGTGGGCACCATGGCGCTGGCTATCCAGGACATACCGGGGCCTTGGATGAAGATGGCCAAGAAATCACAGTCTGGGACGCCACCGCCTACCACCACCAGCGGCGGCGGCAAGAGCGAAGAGGCGGCGACCTCGAGTACGTCACACGACGGCGCGTCGACCACCACCCTGACGCAGACAACCGACGTTTCTAGCCAGCTGCTGACCCCCTCCACCTCAGGCCGAGACGGTAGCAGCACGCCAGAAATCCTCCAGCCCAGCACGTCGGCGACGGGCTCCTCCAACTCTCGCTCCGGATCCAAACCGCTCCCTCGTCAAAAGTCCAACTTCGATGTCGAGGGCGCGCTGGACGCCTCGATCGAGACGGGCAAGGGCGTGCAGCGCCTTGTGGAGACGGGCATGAAGACGCCCATGAACTTTTGCCTGGGGTTGGCCAAGGGTTTCCGGAATGCGCCCCGGCTTTACAACGACGATACCGTGCGGAAGCAAGAGAAGGTGACGGGCCTGGCCAGCGGGGTCATGGTCGCTGGGAAAGAGTTTGGGCTGGGCCTGTTTGACGGCATCACGGGGCTGGTGACGCAGCCTCTACGCGGGGCGGAGAAGGATGGGGCGAAAGGTCTGATCTCAGGCTTTGGGAAGGGGATTGGGGGAATTGTCTTTAAGCCGGCTGCTGGTAAGTGTTTGAATCATCTACAATTTCTTCTTCCTCTCGTCACCATTATTGTCATCATCATCATCATCATCATCATCTGCTTGTTCTTCTTATTCTTTCTTCCTTCCCTCCCCTCCCCAAATTGATGACCAACATCAACTGACCACTCACTTACCACCTACAGGCGTCTGGGCCGTTCCCGCCTACTTGATGAAGGGTGTGCACGCCGAATTCCGCGCCAAATTCCACAAGAGCGTCGAGAACTACATCATTGTCTCGCGCATCCTGCAGGGACAGGACGACCAACGCCACGCCAATCCACAGGAGCAAAACGACATCGTGCTGCGATTCAACAGCCTCAAGGACGAGATGAAGGGCTTTCAATTGCTCAAGTCCAAGGGAAAGCAGGCCGCATCATCGTCAGCACCAACACAAGCACAAGACAGGGACAGCCACAGGGAAGACAACGACAGCACTGTCCCGGACGCTCCACCTAAGACGGGCTTCCTGGCCACACGACACCTACCCATCGAGGAGCGGAGGAGGCTTCACGCGCTCAAGGATGCCTGGAAAAAGAATAAGGACAAGGCCGACGCCTCTTCCTCCTCCTCCGTTGCGCCTCCACCAGCAGGCAGCCCCGAATCCGAAGACGAGGAAATAGAGCGCGCCATTCGCGAGTCCATCGCCCAGACGTCCCGTGGCGACCATGCCGAGGACTTGGCTGTCGAGTCGCAAATGCGTGCGAGTCTCAGGGAGATGAAGCGCATCGCAGGAGGAAAGCAGGGGCAGGGTGGTCAGGAGAAGGGGGCGGCGACGGGGCAGCAGCCGCCCGCCTTCCCGGAGAGGGTGGCGCAGAAGGCGGCGGAGGCAGGGATGAATGAGGACATTTCGGAGGAGGAGTTTCAGGCGCTCATTGCTGAGGCTGTGCGGCAGAGCGTCACGGCTGAACAGCAGCGTGGGACTGCTGGTGATAACGGCGATGTCGAGGACGAAGAGGACGAGGAATTCCGTAGAGCGCTAGAGGAGTCACGACGGGGCAACAGCGCGGGTGTGGGACATGGAGGCGGCGACGACGACGAAGAGCTAAAGAGGGCGGTGGAGGAGTCGGAGCGGGCGCATAGGGAGCACCTCGCGCGCAATTCGACGGAGCGGAGCGAGGAGGAGATTGTTATGGAGTATGTCAAGAAGCAGAGCCTCGCCGAGGAGGCGCTCCGCCAGAAGGCGGCCAGGGGCAAGGACAATGCCGCGGCCACATCTCGTGGTGGAGAGGATGAAGACGATGATGAGGATTTAAAGAGGGCTATGGAGGAGAGCTTGCGCATGAGTGGTAGGACGGGTGGTCCCTCTGGCTCAGCATCGTAGGAGGTGTTTTTCTCTCTTTATTTTCCTGCATTCGAAACCAACAAACGCAGGACGCGTTGGTCTTCTTTTGCTTTCATGGATCTTTCCGATTGCATTGGTTTTGTTCAATTGGGTGGATGTGAGACAATATACCCTGGATAGAGAGAAGATAAACGAGAAATGCATGTACAGCAAATTATTCTCCTTTTTTCACTTTCACACAAAGCAATTGAGCCAGATGAGCATCAATCCTCACCTCTCACCTCTGTTCGACCTAGAGATGCAACCCTCCCTCCAGCTTTTTTCAAGACTGCATCCCATCCATCACACCCTGATTCCCACTCCGCCACGCTGGAATCACCGTCATCGCACTGATTCGCCATGGGTTGACGACGCCGCCGTCGAGGTGGGGGAGGCGGGTGACCTCGATGATGGAGCGGCCCTAGATTGTTGATTCCCCTCACCATTCTGTTTAGTTCATTGACAGAGCATATGATTTGGAATGAAAGTTTGCTGCAGCGCAAAACTCTGCTGCTTACTGAGGGCGGAGAGGCAACACTGGAAAGGGGAAAGAGAGAGGGAAAGAAAGAAAGAAAAAAAAAAAAAAAAAAAAAAAAAGGAGGGGGGGGGGGGGCTGGACTTACTCCGTTTTGAAGAAGTGGTCCCCCTTCTGCAGCGGCGCGGACCATGGACGCTCCGGCTTGGGATACCAGGACTTTGGCTTTGTCGGGGTGGTTTGGGGTGTTGGGCTGGGGGAGCTCGATGATGAGGTTTCTGGGCAGGTGGGCACGTGTTGTCAGTTTTTCTTCTTCTTTTTATTATTATCATCATTCTTTTCAAACCCTCCTCGTTTTCCCCCTTTTCTTCTCCTCCCCTCCTCCTCTGCCCTATGATGTAGGTATCTTCATTTTTTAAAGATTCATGTGAGTCTCGTCTACATACCCATATATATGCTGCGAAGAGTCAAAGTGCTCACACATCCTGACGACCTGTGGCGCCCACTCGGTCGCGGCGACGGTGGAAGGCTCGCTGCCTAGGATCCTGGTGTAGTCTATGTGGACCTCTGGGGCGAAGACTTCGCTCAGGAGGCCGGCTTCCGAGCGGGTGTCGTAGTACCAGGGCTGTGGGGAGAATGTTAATCATGATGGAAATGTGTCTTGAGTAGGGAAGGAGGTGGAAGGAGAGCGGGGAGGGGTTGTGGCTTACCAGCTTAGTTACGGTGTCGTGGATGTTGGCCCTGTCGAGAAGGTAGTCTGTGACGGTATAGGTGGAAGACATGTTGGATTCTTGGTGTATTCAATTGGTATCACAAAAATCTACTTATTGGGTAGTCTGAGTATTGGGTCTCGCTGTCGTTGTGCTGGATTCTCACGGACCTTGAGTTCACTTAGATATATTCATATGCGCCTAGTGCTTATATGTAATGAAACTACTTCAAGTACCACAGCAGGTATAGCCTCAAGTTCCTGATCCTAGATCCCCACATCTCACGGATGAGACTGGAACAAAACCCGTAAACCCCGACAACACGGCTCCATGGATGTTCCGTGGATGCATAATCAGGACATCAGCAGCTCACATGCCAGCCTCGAATGGCTGTATTTTCATTTTATTGAGTGTCTGCATTGATGGAGCGAAATCCGTTTCCCGGGACTGAAGCTGGATCTGAGTCTGTTTGGGTAAGACCAGAAAGGGGCAAACTGTGACTCCTTTCCCGGATGCGTCTTTGTTATCCATGAAAGAAAGGGTTACAAATTTTGAATAATATATTGGTTTCTGGCTGTAGTTGTCAATGGGGTTTTGGCTGGGCATGATTAGGTTGAAGATGAGAGGAAACGAGTTATCCGTCAAGGGGACCTTGATAGAGAAGGAAAACACTGGAATAGCAAGACTCCGTGAGGAAAAAATGGTCAGGTCAGATAACGAGGCAGACGATCAATTTCTTATCGACATTAGAGTCCGGATCTTGCCTTTCTTCAACAAGTCCTTGAATTTCTGCTTCCTTCGAGGCTTGAGACCCTCGTCACTCTCTTCTCCCCCCTCATAATCCAAGTAGATCTCATCTATGGCACTCGGCCCATCATTCTCTCGCTCTTTCCCATTCCCTCTCCAACCTCACTCGCTCAACCCTCTCACACTCGTCCTTCTCCTTGTCCCTCTCCAGCATCTCCCTCCTCACCCTCTCCCTCCTTTCCTCCTCCTCCCTCTCCTCCTTCACTTCCAGCCCCCTCTCAATCCTCCACGCCTCCTGCTCATCAAATCCAATCAGCTGATCAAGATTCTCCCACTCCTTCTTCAACCTCCTCAACCGTCCCCGGACCTCTTCCCTCTTCCTCTTCAGCTCCCGCCGCGTGGTCGTCGCCCGCTCGTCCACCAACACCTGGCATCCACCGCACATGTCGTGCACGCGATACAGCCGGAACCCCTTCTCGGAGATGCCGCACGACGGGTCGATGCATCGGAAGCTGTTCATCACATCGGCGGCCTCGGCGCGGTACTGCTGGCGTTTGGTGCACTGGCAGCAGGTCCACTGGAGAGGGCGGAGGTGGTTTTGGCGGATGTGGGTGGCGATGGTCGTGAGCTGGAGCTCGATGGAGGCGCGGCAGCGTTCTCTTGAGGACGAGGAGGAGGAGGAAGTGTGTTGCTCCTGGTGATTATCGTGGTTGATGGAGGCTGAGACTGTATGGGAGACAGAGCCTGCCCCGTGATTCTCGGTTTCGTAATGTGTCATGGCTGTGGTCTGGCCGTTCAGAATCAGGCATAAGATTTAGAATGGATCTTTTCGGCCCATGAGTGAGGTTTCTTTCCAAAGGTAAACACTATACTAAAGAGGCCAACTTGTAGTCCAGTGGCTGGCGGAGATTGGGAAGCGAAACGACAACGTGCTGTCCGTTGTTCAATGAGAATGGGAGACGATACTGTAATTATGATGAGGTTCTACAGTATGCTCCGAAAGTACTCTTAAAGTAATCGTGTCTTTAGAAACACGCTGATTACCGATTCAGCGAATAGGGTCCTACAGAGTCACCGACCACTATGACTTGAGTGATCAAGCCTTGTCATAGACTAGGAGATTAATTACTCACTCGCTTTCCGGCCACTTCAAGCCGTTAAGATTAAAGGCTACATTTACCGTGGTCTTGTGAAGACTGATGCATTAATTTCAGCAAACCACAAGACCTCTGAAGGTATCTGTGATAGACGTGACTTGCTTGAGGCCCTCATCCATACTTGGGTATCGATTTAGTTGGATTCTCAACCTCCGTTCTCCATGCTCTTATTTTTCACATGAATAATACATTGATGTATTGCTAGGAGGGGAAATTACGCGTAACGTATCATGAAACCCCCCTATTCCCAAGAGGAGGGCGAAAATAATGATCATATCAAGTGAATGTGAAGGTGAGGGTGTGATTAACCAGTCCATCACCGTTCTCGGTGGCCATTTAGCGGCGGGGATTGCCTCTAGCGGCCGGTCAATTACGTCGTGGTTGAACTTGGGTGCAGCCGTTTTCCTGTCGTCATTGAATATGCATGTCCTCCCCCTCAATCTGCAGCTGGCTACATGATCCAAAGCATGATGACACGACATAAAATGTGAGTCGATTCTTTCATCACCAATATACCGATCCTTTAGCACCATGTTTCATCGTCTACCAACATCCACAGCATCGACTTTATTTCGCAGTTCATTCAGACCGACTCATACAAGCTGGACAACAGTATCTCGAGCGACCATGGCTACCGGTAGGTTTTCATACCATCTTATCCAGATATCATTTGGCATTCCCGATATACAACTGATCACCAAGCTACAGGCAAGTCTGAGAATTACGAGTTGCAAGCAAATGCGTTGTTCGATGTATCCCACATCACAGCGGTCGTGACTGGAGGCGGTACAGGCATTGGTCTAAGTGAGTGATCAAGCACTAAATCATTGGCCTATCTGCCCTTCCAACCTGCCTCAATATAAATACATAAGGTCATCACACTAAACAACATCAAAACCACCATAAAAGTGATCATCCAAGCCTTGCAGTCCAACGGGGCCAAAGTCTACATCACGGGTCGGCGCGAGGATGTCCTCCAGCAGACGGCCAAGACTTACAGCACCGGCCCTGGCAGCGTCCACCCGCTGGCCGGAGACATCAGCTCCAAGGATGAGACCATCCGCCTCGCAAGGGAGATGGAGGACCGGGAGCCCGGTGGGATCAACCTGCTGGTCAACAACGCCGGGATCGCACGCGACGACGAGACCAAGTTTTCAAAGAATGGCGAGCCGGACATGAAGGATGCGAAGGCCATCTCGGAGCACTTTCTCCAAACCAAAGAGCAGCAGTGGACCGACACGATGCGGACGAACGTGGCTGCGCAGTATTACATGTCCATGGCCTTCCTGCCTCTGCTGGCCAAGAGGAATGGCAGCGGCTCCGACAAGGGCTCCTCGTCGCAGATCGTCAACGTGTCGTCCATCTCTGGGGCGATGAAGGGGTCCAGCGGCGGGCAGCCCATCTATGCAAGCTCCAAGGCAGCGTACACGCACCTGAGCCGCATGCTGGCGACCCTGTTCAAGGACGTGCACGTGCGTGTAAATGTCATTGGGCCTGGGCTTTTCCCCAGTGAGATGACCGCTGGGTCGTCGGGCGAGGATAATAAGAGTACGCTCGACCACAAGTCAACTAACCCAGCAGGTCGGACTGGGCATGATTCAGATATGGCGGCGACGATTCTTTTCCTTGCCGGGAAGGGTGGATCGTTCTATAACGGACAGATTTTGTATCCTGATGGTGGTGAGTACTTGGTTAGATTCTTCTTATGGTTGAGATTGGTCACTGATTTCTGGAATCACAGGCTCGACTTTGACCAATCCGGCTGTGAACAACTGAATGATATGGATAATTTAATGTCACGTATACACCCCAGTCATAGCTACTATCCATTAATTTCACGACTCTTCACCAGTGGATTTGTCATTAAGTATTGTACTTTAGTGTCTCATGACGCAGCGTTTGACAAGACTTTTCAGTTTGCATGGCAGTAACACCCGTCAAACATAGGTAGATGAATAATCAGGACTAATACCATGCGATGACTTGTGTAAGTAATGGTGAGGCAGGTCTTATGGCTTTGTCGTAAGTTGTTTTGCGTCCATCTTGTTGTCTATACCTGAGGTGGTCAATGAATCGCTCCAAGGCCTGCAAGTCATCCACACTGAGTTCTGTGCCCAATTTTCTTTCCACCAAGTCACTTTGCAACGATGAGTCTCAACTTCAACAACGTCACTCGTTAAACATAGTCACACATTGGTTGTACAATCACGGGAAAGCGCTCATCACTTTGTTTGCGCCAACAATCAGATGTGCTGCACACAAAAAATCTGTTCTTATTCCAACAACCCCCTCGTTTCAGATAGCCTGATCTTTATCAATGAACTTGGACAGAATCAGCTATCCCCACAATGCACATCTCCTCCACCCCCATGCTCCAGACAGCTTCACGCCACTCCGGCAGCTGCAATCCTGAGGTCTCTATAGAACCCAGCTGGCCCAGATCTCCAGATGGCTCAGGATGGGACGGCAAGAATTTGCTCCCGATGGTCCTCAGAGGCGCCAGCCCGTTCCGCAAAACCTGGGATGTCAACGTGCTCCTAAAGGAAGTCGAAAGCATCCTCGGCGCCCAGGTGGTCGATATCCCTCAAGCATCAGCCGGCGCACACAACTACGGCCTCGCCATGGAACTCTCAGACGGCCGCCAAATTTTGGCACGTCTGGCAAAGACCGACGTCAACAGGTGGACTTCCTGCAGTGCTTCATCTCTGGAGTCGAGGTGCAGGGAGCTCAACTTTGAGGTGGCCACATATCGGATTCTGGAGTTCAGCATGGACATTCCCACTTCTCGTCTTCTTTACCACCGTCCGTGCCGTCGCCGCTGTCTAGGCCCTGGTCACCAGGTGGCGAATGATACGAATGACATCAGTGGTCGAAGCCTTGTGATATTCGAGCTGACCAAGGGGAAAAACTTTATGTGGGATGAGCTGAACGAAGGCCAAAAGGTAAGTTGGTTTAAAACATTGAGCCCCTCTTGTACAGGTTCCCACCTACTCATACGCAAGACTCTATGCTCTTAGATTCAATTAATCAACAAAGCCGCTGCTGTTCGTGCAGAATTGTTACATTTCCAACTGCCACCCAGCTTTTCTGAAGACTGGCTGCTGCCGAGGATCATGTTTGTACCCGCGGCATTGGACTTCCCACACACAGTCACACCAACACGAGACTTCTGCATAGCGCTTCTCCAAAGTGCGGTCGAGGCAGTGTTCAAGAACAAAGTCATCTGCAAAACACCGGGGAAAGATACTATCGACCCAAAGCTGCTCGCAGCCAAGCAGTCCATCCTGCGGTTTATCCCATCGATCCTGCCTGCGCAGAGGCACGACGAGGAGAATCTTGATTATTACCGTTTTGTCCTCCAGCACGACGATTACGGTATCCACAACATGTCCATCTGGTTGGACGAAGAGGGTCGCGTCGGCATCACTTCGGTGTACGACTGGGAGACGGGATGTATCGTCCCGCTTATCTTGTCCGAGATTGACTTCTTGATCTTTGGTCGCTACCTGACTGTCGACGGGAATGGCGAGCCATCCTGGCGCCTGTGGGATCCGGCGACTAAGGTGGAGCCAGAATGGCCTGCTATGTTCCAGACACATGCTCGTCACTACGTCCAGGTATGTCTTGTTGTGAGCGACTCCATCTATATGTGAAAAAGGATATCGGGTCTAAGTCAAATGAACCTAGGCACTCAAGCAACGCGCACCTGTTTTGGACAGTGCGATCCGTGAGGGAAAGGATGCGCGCCACTTGTGGCTTGCATTGAAGCGGTGGCGAGGAGATGATCCGCTCCAGTTCTTTTGCGAGCTCGGCACCTGGGCTGAGGCCAGAATGAGAGAGAAAGAGGGAGGTTGGATGGAATATAGAGCTTGACGGGAGGGGGAATCGATGCCAGAGGCAAGGAGGTCATCGTATGTGTAGTCAATTACGAGATAATCACAGTGAATCATCTGGGGCAGATTCAGGCATAGGATGCGGAAAGGACTTGATACGAGTAGTTTCAGAAAGTTTCCGCTGTATCGGGGTTCCCAAGTTGGGATCCATCCGAGACCCGTGGGCATCAGTGGTTATGATTTTGTGCAGGAGCTGTGAGTATAGGGCTCATCTATGCTACTATGGGGTTGAACTAGGAGCAACGTTGACATTGACAGTACATCAACAGTGACTATGATGAGTATTTACCTCCATGTACCGGGACCAGATTGGCTATTAACGAACACCTGCATGGCAAGGTTCTGAACATCTCGAAAGAGCAGATATTTTTCCTCAGCCGCACTGCTATTGTAAGTAGCGACGCCATGCCACCGCACTGTCTTCAGGCTCAGCAACCCTGGATCCGCGCGTGTCGTGCGCCCATACCAGCCGCCCGCCAAGTACGTTCCCACATCCGTGGCACTTCGGTGTTTGTGGCGCTACTCCCACCCTTACCGCCGGACCCGTTTTCTGGGGCAATGATTTCCAAGAATGCTTGAAAATTGTACCTTGATGGAGAGAATTGGATCGTAAGATTGTCTCTCTACTACTATACGCGGAGACTTTCCAACCGATACTTACTGGGTGGAGGGGCCTGTTTTTCGTTTCGCAAAAACCAAGACAGATCCTAAATAAAGCGGGTTTCGGATGTATGCGCCCTCCAAACCCCGGTATACATGTCCTAATTTGGAAGACTGCCCCCTTGTGATTGGCTCGAGTGCGTGCCTTATAGGTGTTCGCGGGCAGAAGTTGTGCCGCCGAGGTTTAATTCTCCTTGTTTGGGGTGTGAGGAGAAGGCTTGTGTGATGTCGAGGGGCGTCTATAAATGTTGAGATATGCTGTCAATTCCCAAAACCGACACACTTCATTCGAAACTAAGATTCCCTCTCTCTTTGTCAAGACTCACAAAGGACTCTTCTGGCCCTGTTTTTCTGCGACTTGGCAGATCATTATAACGACCTTCTCTTCCATCAAAACATCACGCAACATTGTTCCGACAATGGCTTCTTCCAAGCAAAGCACCATCATCGTCACAGGAGGCACCGGGAAAACCGGTTCCTGCGTCACCGACCTCCTCGTCGCCAGTGGCGTCCCCCACATCGTCGCGACCCGGTCCAGCGGCTCGGCAGACCAACTCAACAGCGCAGAGTTCGACTGGATGGACGAGACGACGTGGGACAATCCGTTCGCCGCCGCCGCCGCCGCCGCCGGCACAGACACGAGCAGCCCGCCACCCGCAACGACGGTGTTCCTGGTGGCGCCGCCTGTGTTTCACAGCAGCCTCATCATGAACGCCTTCATCGACCGGGTGCGCAGCAGGCATGGCGTCAAGAGGTTTGTGCTGCTGGCGTCGACGGCTGTGGAGGCGGGCGGTCCTGCGTTTGGGGGCACGATGGCGCGTCTTGCTGAGCTGGGCGGCAAGGGGGAGATTGAGTTTGCTGTGCTGCGGCCTTCTTGGTTTCAGGGTAGGTCACCATTCTTTTTCCTCTATTCCACATCGAAAAGTGAAGAGAGAAAAGGAACACTTGTGAGAAAGGGAAGAAAGAAAAAGAGGAAGAAGAAAGGAGACAAGCGTCGAAAGATAATATCCCTTCCTCATACCAAGTGAGACTGACATTTGGCATCTGACCTCTCGAAAAGACAACTGGTCTGAGCAGAATAACCTGCGCAAGCCCATCAAAGAAGAGGGAAAATCATACTCCGCCACCGGCGACGGCAAGATCCCTTGGGTGTCCAAGTATGACATCGCAGGGTGCGCATTCCATGCACTGACGGATGAGAAGCCTGTCAATGGAGATGTGATCATCCTGGGGCCCGAGTTGCTATCATATGCGGACGTGAGTTTTCCTGTCAAGTCCCCTTGACTCTACACTCTGGTATAGTGAGTCACGGTGGAGATGAATGTGGCTTTGCTGATCAATAGCCCTGATGGACAGTGCGCCAACATCATTGCCGATGTCACGGGCAAGAAGGTCGTCCATGTCGACCTGACGGGTGACGAGCTTGTGGCGCGACACGTGCAGAACCTCGGACTGCCAGAGGAATACGCCAGGATCATGGCCGGGATGGATGAGGCCATCAAGCATGGCTCCGAGGAGAAGCTGAATGATGTCGTGCAGAGCATGACGGGGAAGAAGCCAAGGACTTTTAGGGAATTCGCCGAGGCCAACAAGGCTGTCTGGCTGTGAGGCAGAGGAGAAGGCATTTGACCAACGAACAATGGTATTCCTCGGATGGGGATACTGTCTGGTCGTGGTCTATGCCACGAGACTGAACGTGTAGGGATTTTAGTAAGCCTCGAGGTGAAGAATGAAACAGAAAGGGGGGCTTTTCACGCATGTTTGTATCTACTTTAGCTATTTATCGACAAGTAAATACCAAGTGGTTTGTTGATCTGAAAGGATTGAGAGAGGACTTTGAGGGAAGAAAGATGGTTGACTTAATTAGTGATTGCATCAGCTTGGAGGAAGATGTCGGGGAGGTGGACATCTGATCTTCTTTACCCACTCGTAGCAGTGTGCAGACAGCCAGTGATGCGGTCCTTTGGGTCGACTCAGTTGCTCTCCTTATTATTCAAGACTGAAATCCTTGCCATTGTCTGAAAGAGGTAATAATTCCTTCACTTCAGACCCTATTTCACTCCCGAGCACGACTCGTGTTTACTCTGTTGGTGATTTTTGATCAATAATCAGCCCGATCAGCGATACCTGCTTTGCTGCTGAAAGAATGTGTATAGTCTGAGAAATCCCTCTTCTACATTAAATAGCTTCTATTACTGAAGAGCAATGACAAAGTTGCCGAGTTCTTGATTATGAAGGCCAGCGCTGACATAAGCTGGACCTCAACTCAAGGACAGCTGCGGTCTTCTAATCCGCCAACGGAGACGGAGAACAAGAGTCGACTGATTGCTTCTTTGACACGTTTCCCACTACACAAACTGGCACACAAACTTTAAAGCAGAGAATTCCTCCGCGTACTGTTACATGACTTCCAACATGTTCGCCCAGAGAAAGTAATTGACCATAATCAAGCCGTCCACGTGCTGAATTCAGGTTGGTCCACCCCAAATAGCAGGATACGGATTGCTCTTGGATAAAAGAACAGAAGATAAAAGAAACAAGAGGAAAACAAGAGACAGAAAAAAAAGAAGAAGAGGAAAAGGATGATGCTTCTAGATTCTCGGGTGGTCTTCGGAACGGGTAGTCTTCGGAATTTTTTCGCTTCTGACGAAATCGGTAGGATCGTCAGCTCTGCAAAACCAGACTTTGGGGGCTCCAGCGGAGGTGGTTGGGCTGAGGCGTGTTCGACCACCAATCAATAGCCTATTGGCCCCGTTTGACTACTTCGGATCCTTTACAGGTGCTAGACCATCATGTCGAAGGGCCGAGACTGCACAGGGTCCGTGGTGCCTGAAGATCTTACAGTAGACCTTTGAAAAGAGTGCTGTCCGAATGCGAGAGTACTCAAGGCATCGACCAAGTACATGTAAGCCAGAGATTCTATTAGTAACCCTTAATCCGAGCCTTCCTGTCGTGTCATTCGTGGTTCGAGTCATAACTACAGGACTGGGCCACGAATCCTTTGGAAAAGTTTTGGATCTCTTCAACAATTTTGACATGATCAAAGGAGCGGAGTCGGCTTGAACAGTGGGCCCGGCCTGCTTTCGGATATCTTGCTGCTTATTGAATCTGTTTGTATGGAAGAAAGTTCATGATATTAATTACCAAATGTCCCAATTACTTGATATGAAGCTTCAAAATGTTGGTGATGTTCTCTCATCGCTACACACCACCGAATACGTAGCCTTTGCCTTGAACCTCTATTTCTTACAATGTCACTTAACAATGCAGAGGGCAAGCCACCGCCCATGTCGACAACCATCGACCAAGACACAGGACCATCTACAACCTCAGAGCCCGAAGAAGACAATCAAAACAACCACCCAGCCCCAGACAATGTAATATTAGAAAAAGTTCCCACTGCCTACAGCACAGCAAAGGTCGAGGTGGTTGGCGACAAGATTGTGTTCCGGCCGACATGGCAGTTCCGGCTCGCCTTTCTGGCGCTCAGCACGCTCTGCCTGGCCGTTGCCTTCGACGCGACCACACTGCCTGTGGCCCTTCCGACGGTCAGTACAGACCTGGGCGGTACGGCGCTGCAGGCATTCTGGTCGGGAACGAGCTTTTTGCTTGCCTCGACCTCGCTGCAGCCGACGGTGGCATCTCTCAGTAATATCTTTGGTCGGAAATATGTAAGTCTGTCTTTTGTCCCTTCTCGCAAGGAAAAATAATTATGGCGCTGGTTGACTCACCTTTTACACTCTTTCAAAAGCTCATCTACATCTCCTCCGTGTTCTTCCTCGCCGGCTGCATCATCGGCGGTCTGGCGGGAAACTTCACCGTCCTCATCGTGGGCCGAACCATCCAGGGCATCGGCGGAGGCGGCATCATGAGCCTCACCGAGATGGTCATCGCGGACCTTGTTCCACTGCAGTTCAGAGGAGAGTGGATGGCCCTGGTTTCTATGTCATGGGCCGTGGGGACTGTGTTTGGTCCCCTGATAGGCGCCGGCTTCACGCAGAACGTAACGTGGCGCTGGATCTTTGTAAGTCTATTCGTGGAAGTACTATTTCCTCCATTCATTCATCACTGCATCATGCTGACGCATAACTTTGTTCTCATCATTGCAACTTTTTAAAGTACGTCAATATACCCATCATAGCCATCGGCATGGCCCTCATCTACTTCTTCCTCAACCAGAGCCCCATCCCGGGAGGCGTGCCCCAGAAACTAAAGCGCTTCGACTGGATCGGAAGCCTCTGGTTCATGACCAGCTCGACGCTGTTCCTCTTCGGCCTCACGGCGGGCGGCACAATGTACGCCTGGAAGTCGGCAGCCGTGCTGGTGCCTCTTCTCGTGGGGCCCCTTTCACTAGTCGGCTTTGCCTGGTACGAGGCGCGCATCGCCGGGGTGCCCATCATCAAGAAGGCCATTTTCAGTAACTGGGACATGATCGTCTCGTATATCATGACCATAGTGCACGGCATGATTACCTGGTCGCTCGTCTACTTTATAAGTGCGCACAAGATTCCATCCCCCTCCCAAGCCAAAGGGAATAAGACAACGTTACAAGAAATGATCCCACTAATAGGAAAAAACTGATCTAATGATTCTTTCCCCCCAATTAGTTCTCTACTACCAAGGCGTAAAGCTCTACACCCCGCTCATCTCCGGCGTGGCAGGCCTCCCCGAATCCCTCTGCGTAGCCCCCGGTGCCGGCGTCGTCGGCGTCGTCGTCGCCCGAACAGGCCACTACCGCTGGTCCCTCTGGTCCGGCTGGGCCCTGACGACCCTCGGCGCAGGCCTCCTCGTCCTTCTCGGCCCCGACACCACCATCCCCCAGTGGATCTTCCTCAACATCCCCATCAGCCTCGGGATAGGCATGCTGTTCCCGTCCATGGGCCTGTCGATGCAGGCCGCGTGTGCGCCGGCGCACAACGCCGATGCCATGGCCTTCTTCAGCTTCTCGCGGAACCTGGGGCAGGCGATCGGTGTGGCTGCCAGCGGGGTTCTCTTTCAGAATGCCTTTCGGACCCAACTGCTGGGGTTGCCTGACTGGCGTGCTGAGGCGGACGTGCTGAGCCGGGATGCCACGGCTGTGGTTGACATGGTGAAGGCGATGGCGCCGGGGGCGGCGAGGAGGGACTTGATTGGGGCGTATAGTGGTGGGTTGCGGGATGTCTGGATCTTTTTGACGGCGCTGGCTGCGGTTTGTTTTCTTTTGAGTTTCACTGTGAAGGGGTTTAGTCTTAAGCAGGAGCATGTCACGGAGCAGGGCTATCAGGTGAGGGAGAAGGAGGGAAAGGAGAAGGGGATGGAGGATGTTGAGAGGTGAGATTGTATGGAAAGGAAGAAATGGCTGCGTTTTCTCCCCTCCCCCGTCTTTTCTGTTTCCGAAGCCTGCTTTGTTTACTTTTAGATCAAACAATCACATAGATTTGATAGACAGACACGAATAATGATACCAGCGTATAGACAGTCGCCATCTAGCAGGTTGTAGAACACACTTGAACCGGTCAATCAATCACAAGCCTCACTCAGATCATCAGAGGAACATCTCAGCTGACTCCAAATCAGAAGAGGTCCCTCCCTCCATCCCCTTCCTCCTCTTCTTCCTCCCTCTCCCACCACTTCTGTACTCATATCACTAAAAGGGGCCACGAGGCCCGAGGGCAGTGTGACATCAGTCAGGCCACAGCATCCGCGAGGATCGGCCCTCCGAAGAGTTGCAAAAACTAGTGAAACCCTCGTATGCTCGTATGCCCGCTCGTCAGCATGGGAAGTCCGAAAGTACCATGTACTATTCTTCCTCCTTCTCCTCCTTCTCTTCTTGATCTCCTTCCTCGTCTCCCGATTGGACCCTTCGATATCCAATAAACCCAAACAGCGCGCGCGCACACACACACACTCTCCCAAAACAATCACCCGCTCCGCGTCTATTATAAAAACGAGAAGAAGACCAACCAAAATAGGACCCCCTGCCGCCAACACGGCATACATACACTCACGTGTTTTTATCCTTTCCATTTACGTGTCAAGAAAAGACATGAAATGCGCCACAATGAGCACAATGAAAGAGAAGGTAAGGGGGGCGGGGGGAAGAGAAGAGAGAAGAGAAACAAGTGAGACATGAAAAGCGGCACGAGGGAAAGCTGGACATGGAGTCGAAGTTCCCAGGGTTACACCGCAGCTTACTACTGTATGCAAGCCCCAGTAGTAGCGGCGCCGAGAGAGCGAAAAACAAAAGCAAGGAACCAGTAAAAGGCTCTCTCTCTCTCTCTCTCTCTCTCTCTCTCTCTCTCTCTCTCTCTTTTACCTGGGAGAGGGGGCGTTCATTAGGTTGCTTCCGTGGCTTCATCCTTGGGAAACGCCACGTTTTCTCCTTTCCTTCCTTTTTCCTTCACCGCGGGCGGGAAAAAAAGCGGCGCTTGTCTTGTCTCGGAAAGGTAGGTATGAAAATGTAAGATGTTGTGCAGATGATGATGCTTGCTTGCTGCCGCTGCCGCTGCCGCTGATGATGATGTGCATGCATATATCCAAATGAAAGTGTAAATGTATAGTGAAACCCTCCTCGTGGGTTTGGGGGAAGAAAAAAAAAAAACCAATGCAGGTTTAGGCGTCCTTGTTTTTCTGTTTCTATTGTTTCAGTCGGTCGTGTTACTTCTTCTCTTGCATGAGTTCCCACCTGGAGAGTAACAGTAACATGCATTGCGTGCATGCATGCATGTGATTTAAGGTAATCACGGTCCTTTCCCCCCCCCCCCCCCCCAAATTCTCAAAACCTCGTGCTGTTCGACCTCTTCCGACTGGGCCACGCAGTTACCCACCCACCCTCCTACTTTTGGCCGTTTACATACGGCGAAGAGCGTAGACCGTGACAAGTACCTCCCCTCCCCCTGCCCCCACCTACACGATGGAGGTCCCCGACTTTCAGCTCCAGCACAACTCAGCCCTGGATCTACACAAGTGTTGATTACACAGTAAGGCTGTCTGCTGGTGCTTATTTTTATTTTCTTCCTTTCCCCCTTGTATCCCTCCTTTGATTGGACTTCTTTCCATCTTCAGGACTTCCGACCCGGCTTTCCTGTTTATCCGCCTTCTTTTTCTTATTTAGGAGCAGGGGCAAAGCCGGCAACCAAAACGTCTTCGTAATGGTGGCTGTGGCTGTGGTAAGTCTTCTTTTCTCGCCTTGGTCCTGTGGCGGCGCCTGGTCTCAGTATAGTCATGTAAATCAATGTTCAACCTCGCAACATCTTCACCGCTGTTGTGTACACGCACACACATATGCCATGAAAATTGCCACTCTTGAAGCAAGATCTCGGAGTGGGTTTGTGGCTGTTATCGTATGCATGAGTCGTCCGGTTGTGGTGAAGAGTTGTTGATCGCTTGCATCAGTGGGAAACGGTAGCAAAGAGCAATTATGTTCTTTTGTAGATGGATATTCATATGTGTTTGTATGTGTATGTACACAATAATTGCGAGGCACTGGTTCTATCGAAGGCATGAAGCTCTCGCGAACCAAGACCCTGAGAATATATAATTCTAGGCTGCTGTAATTAATGATAACTTTTCCAAGGCCTTTGGAAGCAGAGTAGGCCATCAAAACACCGTGACTATGTTTGTTTTTTTAGCAGTGTGAAAACAAGAGACAGAGGGAAAGAGAGAAAAGAAAGATGTCGTAAAATCGTCGTCGTCCAAACCAACCACCAAGCCCTCCTCTTCTCATGATTGCAACCCAAAGGCCAAACCAACAGCAAAGCCAGTAACAATCAAGATAACAAGCACCACCAGAATCACCCGCCTCCATCGCTTCCACCAAGACTTATTGTTCCTCCTCCTTCTATCGTCAAGCCCCTTCTCAACATCGCCCCAGCCCACGCTCCCCTTCTCGTTGTCTGTCGGCGCCCCACTACTACTGCTCCCGCTCCCGCCACCGCCATATCCCGCACTCTCCCGCGCCGTGTTGCCCGCTGCGCTGCCTGCCCCACTTCTACTCCCTTCTCCCAAGCCTCCATCCTCGCCTTCCTCGTCTCCTTCTTCCAACCCAGAGCAGCAAACGGGAACCGTCGAAGGCCCAGAGCAGCACAGAGACGACCGCGCCGACCGCGCACTCCGCACACTATGCATGCTCGTCCTGCTGTTGGGCCTCATTGGGCCGGGCGGCGCCACCAACCCGACCCTGTCGTAGGCAGTGATGTAGTCCTCGCCGTACTGGTAGAAGCTGTTGGTGCCGGCGATGGAGCGAGGCCGCTGCTGCTGGCGGAGGGAGCCTGCGGTGGCGCGGGAGAGGTCGGTAAAGATGCTATCGGCGTCTTCGCGGATGGGGGGCATGCGGGAGATGGTGCTTTGGAAGGAGGTGTGGCGGCTGTGGATGGTTGCTGCCGAGGGGCGAGTTGGTGTTGGTGTTGGTGTTGGTTGGGGAGAGAGAGACCTGGCTGTGGAGGGGAATGTGGCCGAGCGTGGTGAGGCTCGAGGGGAGGAGGACGGTGATGAGTTTTGTTGTTGTTGTTGTTGTTGTTGTTGTTGTGAGGGTATGGCCAGGGAGGCTGTTGACTTGAGAGTCTCTGTTGGCTCGCATGCTGAGGACGACGAGCCTGGCCTCGAACGTGGTGAAGAAGGTGGTATCGGTGATGAAGGCCGCACCGACGATGACGATGACGACGACGTTCCTGGGCGTAGTGGCATCTCGCCCACAGCTGATGTCTCCCCTTGTTCGTCCATCTGCAGTATATATATATATCTATATATATATATATATATATATATATATATGTGTGTGTGTGTGTGTGTGTGTGTGTGTGTGTACGTGTGGGTGTGGGTGTGGGTGTATGTGTGTGTGTAAACTCGTTCGTCTCAACAACAACAAATACTGTCGTGAACGTCGAAGAAGAAATATGTCAAGGTTGCTCTCACACAATGACGAACCCAAGAAGCTTCCTCAGAAGCAGTAAAACAGAAACGGAGAAAAAAGAGAGAGAGAGAGACAAAGAGACACTATGCCCAGTAACCCAATGTTCCGAGGCAAACACTTCCCCAAGACAAGGCTGGAACAATAATGGGGGCCACCAAGCCGTCGACGAATGACAAACTAGCCTCTCGACGAGTTTGTCCCGGATGCGGACTCTCGGGGTCGTCGATCTTGTCGTCGAGCCCCAACTAGCTTGGATTTTTTCTTCCTCTCTCCTTCTCCCCCTCTCGGTCTCTGTCCCGTAGATCTGCCTAGAAATTCCTACTAAAATATTAATTCCCACATGCCTTTGCCACTAAGAGAGAACCAAAAGAAGAAGCCCAAAGGAAAAAGAAAAAAAATCTGGGAGGCGGGGGGAGGGGGGAAGAAGAAACTCACTCGCTAAATACCGACGATCTCTTGCCAAGGTACCAAGGACGCGAGCACGAGGGTGGAGAACCCATATATATGGCCCCTCTCGTAAAGCTGAAGTTTCGAGAATAGTGGTCCTCTTTTGCTGACTGACTGAGTGACGTGCTCAGTCGGCTTTTGGTCCAAGAATGGGGTAAAGTGTGACGATTGGAAAGAAATGAAGAGGGAGAAACAACCCTGAGAATGTGGGGAGCGAGTAAAGTTGTAACAGTAATAGTAGAAAAGAACAAGACCCCTCTCTTGTTCTTATTACTCCTCCTTCTCCTTCTCCTCCTCCTCTTCTTCCCCCTCCGCGGTTAGGTTCCCTGCTTGTTCCCGGCGATCCTCGAGGAGAACCCGCCCAGTTCGAACAAAGAAAAGATAAAACCAAGGTAGGATAGGGCAATGTCTCAGCCTCGACGGTCCGAGCAGTGGAACTTCCCAACGGCTTGTGGTGTGAATGTTGTGTATGTCTCTCTCTTGTGCGCGTGTCGTTTCGTCTTCAGCACAAGAAGACGCGGGATGGGAGTGGCTAGCCCTGCCGTGCACACCATCACAACTACCCCCTTCGCGTGGACGGGCTGGGGAGGAGAAGATAACACAAGATGTCTCACACAAACACATGTACATACACAGAGTGGGAAAACGAGGAGCGGGGGGAAATGTTTTCGGGAGGCAAAAGTAAATTATTGGGTGGTGGGTTCACCCATGCCATGTGGCAGTCGTCGTCGCTCTCGCCCGGTCTCCTACCCATCGGACGCCCCACGAGGAGAGAGGAGCGGCGGCGGAAACGAGCCGCATCATTGTGTGCAGCTTGCATGTTTGGGAAGTATAGCCCCGAGCTGAGAATAGATGACGGGCCCCTTAACCTGCGGGGGAGACGAGTAAGAGAAAGATAGAGAGGGAGCACTGACAGGCAGCTAGCCAGGCACCCAGGCAGACAGACGGTACAAACAGGACAGGCTGAAAAGACAAAAAAAAAAAGGCGTGATCCCCAGAACAGGATAGTAAGATGATCCGCTTCATGGGTCTAGACAATGGGGCCCAACCTCTCGGGCAGCAGATCCAAGGCGAGAGGGCACACTGCATATGAGGATTTACATGAGTGGCTGAGGGGAAGAACCGGCCGGGACGGAGATGAGAGTAAGAGTAAGAGGGGGGAGAGGTACAAGAGAGACACAGAAATAGTAAGAGGGGAGACAAATACGACGAGGGAACAACAACAAACCGCAATAGCCAGCTAATATGCATCATGTGCAGTGCAGCAGATAGTCAGCAGGTAAGTGTGTTGACTAGCATCATGGGGAAAGTACTATGTAGTACAGCAGAGTACTACAGTATTTCCTGATGCACAACATGAAGAGAAGGTCCACACGGCCGTGACAGCATCATCTCGGTATGTAGCAGCAGCAGCAGAGAATGAAGAGAAGAGAAAAAAAGTCCCCACTTGGGATTGGTGATCGTCGACATACGAAAGCTGACGTGTTCACGCGTGTGAGGTGAAGTCAGTAGCAGCAGCTGTCGTAGTAGCTAGCCTAGTCGTAAGCTTAGTGCAGAGAGTGCTGAGGATTGAGGGGAAGACAAAATCAAACAAAGCAAGGGATCCGAGTCCAAAATGCCAGCGCTCCTGACGATCTCCCGTTTGCGTCCTTCCCACAATCTGCTAGAGTAGTTAGTACTTAGCTAGGTTGTTAGTGCATCAGACCAAAGGCCTCGGGTGACCTCATTTTTCTTTCTTTCGCTCTTTCCCCTCTGGCTCTCCTGCTCTTTTCCCTCCTATTCACCGCTGAAGGTACCATTGTATTTCTCCACCATAAAAAAAAAATTACCCAGAGTCCCCTCATCTGACCCAGTAAGGTTTGGCGTCTGCCCCTTCCGGCCGTGTTCCCAGCTGAAAACGCCTCAGTTGCTGCCGCAGCTAGAGAAGAAATAGGCAGAGGAGGAGCAGACATGAACCCATATTAATCTACATACTACAGTTGGAACGGAGCTGAAGGGCCTGCGGCAGTGGCTTGCCGGCGCCCCGGCACTCGTCCGTAGTAGCATTCAGAAGGAGGAAGGAAAGGAGAAGGGGAAAAAATAGGTGCCGGCTGGCGGCTCGTTCGTGGGGCGGTTTGACACTATCGAAAATTCTCCTTCCACGCCCTCCGCTGTGGGGGGCCAAGGTACTTGGGTCTTCGGCGTGGTTTGTATCCGGGACGGGAAGAGAAAGAGAGCTGCGTCTGGGGGGCCCCTTCTAGAATGTAAGGCTCCACCCACCCGGCCCTTTTACTCCCCTTCCTACTTCCCACTCAGTTTGAATCCTTTCCTATGTCAAGGCTCCAATCCAACAACGAATGACAGGACCGTGTTGATGGTCGTGGGCACGAACAACGCATATGCAAGTCTCGGGGAAAAAAAAAGGCCCGCGTCCGAAGGAGGGGAGAGGAAGAAAAACATACCTAAAAGCCTTGGCCATGCTGACATGACCTGACCACCTCTCCCCCTCCTCTCATCCCGTCCCGTTCTGCCGCCAGCGCGCGCCCTCCCCTTCTCGGCCTTGACGCAAGGGGAACCAAAGGAAAGACTACCGCCAAGGGAAAGAAAAGAAGAAGAGGAACAAGATTTCCCTGCATTGCCCAGTGTGCCTGTCCCCTTTGCCTCCATCGTCATATTCATCATCAACATCAATATCAATATCATCATCATGTGAGTAGCGGCCCGGGAGAGCAAGAAAAAGAGAAAATGAGAGGAAATTCGACCGGGTCAGCCGCAGCTCGCCAAAGGACGAATGAAACTTTGTTTTACCCCCTGGGATGTCTACCCAGTACTTCACCTTCAGCTCCTCCCCTCCCTGCAGGAACACTTGCAGGCAGCAATTCTTTTCTTGTTTTGTGTGGTTGCGTGTATTCTGATGCGTTGGCAAAACATAGAAAGGGACGAGACTAGACCCTTCCAGCTGGCTGCGGATTCCGGGCGTCTGGCCGGGCCTCTTCTTGATTAGGCCGAGGCTCTGCTTTGCCACGTTCCAGAGAAACTGCTGCTGCCAAGAAGAGGATGAGGATGAGGAGAATGATGATGATGATGATGATGATGATGATGCCAAACTAGTCTGGTATGGCTTGAGGGTTTGGAAAGCGGTCAATGCGAAACCTTGCGGGTCCGTCGTTCGTCCGTCCCTGCAATGGTAAACCTCGTGGCATTCTAGACTAAGCCAGGTCTGTCTTCGTACCAGACTTTGGGAATATCCACTCCAGCCATTTTGCTCAGGTACAAGAAGACAAGAGAAAAAGAGAGAGAAAAAAGTGGAAGATAAAATATTCATTCATGCTCCGAGTATCATCATGTACAGTACTATGATATTCATTCATCCATCCGTGGAATCACCTATTAAAGAGGTAGGTAGCTTTCCGGACCTACATCTCATTCATCCACCGAACCTACTCAGTAGACATGATGAATGTCGTATTTTGTTTTTTTTTATAATCCCCAACCCATGCATGCATTTAGAGATAGAGAAATGAAAGAAAAAGCCACCCTTTGCCCAGGTGGATGCCAGATATGCTGCTTGATGATGCGCAATTAAAAGAGAGGAGGAAAATGGAAGAAGGAAAAGAAGCTTTCACCTCTGTCCACCCTAGGACCATCCCCTCCTTTGCCTCTGCCCCCTAGATTAAACACCGTGTTCTCCAATTACCCAAATGCCATGCATGCGTACGTACCATCGTAAAAGAAAATACCAAGAGCTCTCTAGATGCTTTCGTCGTGGAGAATCAAAGAAAGAAAAGTTAAAAAGAAAAGAAAAAAAATCCCCTTTGGGGGGGGGGGGGGGGCGGGCGATGAAAGAATTAGCGGAGCATCTAGGCCGATCTCCCCCAACCTTGGGCGAGCCCTCGTTCTATCCACTTTTTTCCCCTTGCCATACTTGTACAAAAAAGTTCCGCACCCTTCAGCTGGCCTTCGAGTTCATAAGAGGAGGACGAAGTCCAAGGCC